GACCGGGACGAAAGAGTCGAAACCCGGGTGCGTGTTCAGTTGCACGTTTCCGTCCTTCCAGCCCGTCCAGGGTTCCTGGACGAGGACCACATCTATCTGAGCCTCCCAGCAGAGCTGCAGGAAAGCCGTGTGCGCCGGGGAGATCTTTCCGACGTTGCCCTGCGCAACGCGTAGCATCCGTGGGGTCGCCGCTCTCGGCTTACGTCTCCGAGTCGAGTTCGAGGTGGGTGTAGGCATTCGCGACGTTGTAGTTTGGCTTCTGTGCTGCCCGTTGGCTCCTGCTTGGCATGGGTAGCACGGGACGGTCGATGGAGGTGTTGTCGGGGGAGTCTTCGCCTTCGCCTTCGTCCGCCTCGTCTTCATCCATGCTGCTGCTGTCAGTGCTTCCGTCACCGAGGCAAACGATCGAGCTTGCGGAGGGCGTTCTCGTGCGCGCGCGCTTGGCGCCGGGTTGCTGGTTCTGGCTGGTGGAGGTAGGGACGCCTGCCGCCTCCTGGCTACTGTCGGATCGAGTAGCCTTGTACAGAGTGTCCGATGCTTTCTGGCCGGCCTTCCGGATCCGAGCCCGCTCCTTTCGACCGGGAAGGGAGACGACGCCGTTTACGACCGAGGGCCTCGCTGGGCAGTCTGTGTGGCCGGCTTGGAAGGGGCCGCAGCAGTTGGGACACTGGGGCCTGGCCATGCAAGGTCCCGTTTCGTGTGAGTCGGAAGGTCTTCCGCAGTTGCTGCAAGTCGGTCGTCGTCCGCAGAACCGGTTGGCGTGGTAGCCCTGGCAGCCGGGGTCATGTCGGATGAGCGTCCTTCGTTTTTTGATGGGCAGAGATCTGCCGCTTTGGTTGAAGAGCCTGAAGGGCGTGACCTCTGATGTGAATGATATGAGCCAAGATATTTCGTTCGTGACTGGGTTGGGCCCAAGGCGGGACGGTCGAGCAAGGACAGGCTTCTGTCCTGTCTGTGCGAAGACCTCATCTTCAACGAGTGTGGCTGGGTCCAGGACGTCCCCGCCAATGCTGTGTAGTTTTGTTGGGCATCGCGGCACAACGTATGTGTGCCACTTGATAGGCGTCTCGACTTGGTGGGCGCCGAGGCATTCCGCCAGCTTTGCCTTACTTGTAAGTAGTCTTTCCTGTATTTGCTTGTTTCGCGGCTTCAGAGAGTAACCTGTGCTGATATGGTAGACGTGGGGAAGGTCCGCTAGCCCCAGGCCAACGGCCTTACAGACGATCTGTCGTACGGCGAACGGTGCGATCTTCCGAGCGGCCGCTAAGCTTTCTTCCGGGACGCGGGCAAAGATGCGGAGGTCCTCCTTCGGCTGCGCCTGCGGCTGATCCTCGGCGGGGAGTGTGGCCTTCGGGCGGGCAGAGCTCTGGCAGCTCTGGCCGCTCCGGGTCGCCGCAGTGGTGTTGCCCGCCATCGGTGCGACGACAGCCGCCCAACTCCGGGCCGCTATTGGGCTTGTCTCGTGATTGATCAGTCTCTTGAGGGTTTGAATGACATAGGCAGTGGCTTCTTTCGCGATCTGCTTTCTAGAACCGTCAAAGCTGGCGACAACGCTGTCGACGGACCGTGCAATGGTCAGAAAGACGTCTTTCCGTGCCTCGTACTGTCTAGCTTCTTCTGCAAGGGCTGTCAAGACGGACCCTGTGGCAGATCCGCTCGGAGCAGATGCGGTAGAGGCTGCGGGCCCCTCGGCCGAGGTAGGGGCGTCGGTGGTGGCATCAAGCTGGCTTCCCGTTAGGCTGGGCCGGGTCGGCTGTGCCTCGGCGTCGCGGCGTCGCTTAGCTCTTGAGGTGGGGTTCGGCTCCGGAGGTGTCCCGGAGCCTGGTTCGGGGTCGGCTTGGTCGGCCGACATCAGTCCGGTGCCCGACGGCGGCTGTGAGGCCATCGCGGATGCGGGCTCCGGCAAGGGGAGGTGAAGAGTTTTCGGCTGTTAGTAATTTGGTGGTAGGCTCACTCATTCACTAACAGCAGATGCCAAGAAAAATTAGGCGAGAGGGAAGTTGCCGACTGAGCAGCATGTCCATCGGACTTCTCATGTTGGTAAACGCGTTCAGGTTGGCCAGTCTCTTCGTCGGATGAGTTCTTCGATAGTGCTGGGGCCGAGTGACCGCGCCGGAAGATCAACACTTCGCCCTTAGAGCGGTCTGCGGTGATGTACTCCGCCACGAGCAAGTAAACGCACATGAAGAAGACGATGAAGGCAATCAGAATGCCGAAGTTCCTGAGTGACGCGTTAGAACTGTTTGCGGAGGAAATTCCACAAAACCAATATATACCTCCAAATGTGAGACTTGTAGTAGCTGAAAGTGGCATTCATGTAGAAGTCACCGTCAACAAAGTCTGCGCCTGGTGCAGCACCAGCGACCGAACACGTCCTCTCGTTTGGCGCAGCGTTCGGGTAGGCCGGAACAAATGAGGGACACGGGAACTGCCGACCATTGAACTCATTGGCGACCAGACTCTCGAAAGCGTAGGCGATGGGGTTGATGTAATTGATCCAGCGGAGCCAGCCCTTCATGTCGCGGGTCGGGAGGATGAAGCCAGTGTAGATGACGAGCGATAAGATGAAGATCGCGGCTGGCGTCAAGGCTTGATGGATGGTACGGGACGTCTGGCCAATGGTTCTGATGATCATGGACATAGAAAGTGTGGTGGTGAAGCCGAAGAGGAGGAAGATGAAAAAGGCATCGGCCTCTTGGCGGAGCTTTGCCATGAAGTAGAGAGGAATATTGAAGGCCAATGTCGATAAAATCTTGCTAGGAAGATCGCAAATTGTGGAAGAGATTGCTTCGGAGGCGGGATGATACAGAGCATAGCGAGCGTGCTTTTCGACAATGGGTCTCTGGACGTACAGCGTGAGGATCTGATCATCGCTATATCAGTAAATCTTTCTCGTCGTGGGGCTAGTGCAAGAAGAATCCGAAACATACCTCAAGAGCACTGCTGAGACCGTTGAACAAAATCGCAAAGAACAACAGAATGCAACGAGAGTTCATACTCGATGCGTCAGAGGGCAGGTCGAAGAAGATACTTCCAAGAACTAAAGAGATGATCAAGTTGCCACCAACAGTGACAACGAAGAAGAGCCAGTCTCCCAAGAGACGCTGGTACCCACGCGTCATGCAGAGCCAGATTTGCATGGGCATGGAAATGGTGTAAGGTGATTGCGGAGTCCTTCTCAACTGTTAGCAGGCGATTATGCCACGATCTCCTGCCTCCACCACCACTTACACAAGAGATGCTTTGTGAGCCTGGCGCGTTGCGACAAACTTGTCAACCCCTGAGCCATCGAGGGGATGTTCCTCTTCAAAGGCAAATATCTCTTCCATTAGACGTGCCCTGACATCACTTCCTTTCCACACAGTTGCAAACTCGTCTGGCGTTCTGGGAACTCTATTCTCGAATCCTTCTCGAACCACTCGTTCTGCGGGGTTCGTGAGGGAAGTGAGGAAATCAGCGGTAGTTTGGCGGTCGGGGCAGCGGTAGCCCATGTCGACGAAGTATTGCTTTGCCAGCGCCGTGGAGCCAAAGTAAATCTGTCGACCTTCGTAGAGGACCGCGACCTTATCGAATACCTAGACAAGTTTACCTGAGTTAACAATGATCCACGGCAGGTTCGTGATGGAGATACTGACATCATACGCCGGCTGCGAAGCCTGATATATGGCCACAATGGCCGAAGTCTTGGCCATGTCAGTAGACAACCGCAGAGTCCGAGCAAACTCTAACGCAGTAGCACTATCCAAACCGCGAGTGCTGTTATCCCAGCACTGAATAGGGCTTTGGCTGAGCGTAACCTCCGCGATACTGACGCGCTTGCGCTCGCCTCCGCTGACACCTGTGAAGATTTAGTGGAGGTTGCCCCAAAGCTGTCAAAGGCTTGGGCCACTCACCACGGACGAAATCGTTTCCGACCTTTGTGTTGATAGTGTGGGAGATACCAAAGACTGCCATCACGACGTCACGCAAGTGCTCAGCATATCTCTGCCTGCTGACGCCAGGGAGTCGGTTCTTTGGCGTTCTTGCCAGTGAGGCGAAAAGAAGCGTCTGCCCAACCGTGAGGTGAGGGAAGTGGATATCAGTTTCGGCCTGGTAGATAACTTCACCGCGGAATCGTTTGTGCATAGTTTCCATCGGAATGCCTGTTTATGATGCATATCACAGTCAGCTTTCGTGGAGGTCTAATGGATAATACCCCTAGCCCGTTGTCACTGACCTTGGTAACTGAAGTGTGAGTGATCCCCCAGATGAAGACCCTGGGTCTCACCGGCGATCGTCTTGAGCAAGGTAGAAACACCACTACCGGGACGGCCCAGAACCAAGAGCATCTCACCACTCTTGATGATTCCGTCAAACTCTTTCAAGATCTCAATTTTTCGGCGACGGTTGCTGAGAGCTTGCTTGATCATCATTGGTGCTTGCCAGAGGACGTTAAGAACATCCTTCTGGTAGTCCGTGTCGGTGCCGTACCCATGAACACTCAGGTTGCGATACCCCACTCCAGCTTCGAGTCTTGGGTAGTCCTCGGGATGGTGATATGAGTGCTGTAGAAGGGCTCGGGCCCATTTCTTGGCGTTGAACTCTTCGCGACAGCTTGGGTCCAGGGCAGGGTGGTCCGATAGGAACGGGTTAATACCAGAGTCAAGTCTTGACGCTGAACGGATAAGATCGAGACTGTAAGGCCTGACGAGCTCATTGACGTGGGCATCATTGGCTTCAATGTCCATGTCATTCCGCTGGTGGTCGTGTTCCTGAATGGCTTTGGCGTGCAAGGTGTCATCCGACGGCTTGGACATGACGTTGCCGCTGTCACCCTGCGGGCGATGCATCTTGTGATTTCGATTTGATGACTGCGCAACGTGCAGATGAGAAAGAACCTGAAGATCGCAGAAGAGAGGAGGCTCAAGCAATGTCACCCAACGGGGATCATTGGCAAGTTATATCTTGACAAGCTTCCCAAACGAGGCGCCCACCTCGTTAAAAATAAGTTTTCACGGTCAGCACAAGGCAGACATGTGAAAACAACAACACAGCTACGCATTTCCAACGTCAATACTTACTATCAACGGGTCGACATGGGCAGGGAAAACCCGAAAAGCAGGGTCCAGATCACTAGCTTCACGTCACTCTGCCGAAACTGACAGCTCGCGAGCCGAGCCTGATGGTCCAATGTCCATGTTTTGACTGCATATTGTGCGGCTTTGCTGATGTAGAGCAGCCGTATAAATCAAGTCGGCGCCGAGAGGGGAACCTAACGCAAGATATATCGACGATGTTGACGAGAAAGCACCCACACGCGCCGCAAAGATCCTGATCGCAGATCCCGGGATGGCGGTGTTGTGAAGTGGCCCGATGCGTGTGTAAAGTTACCCGATCCGGGATCTCGGCGCCGAGGCTCTGCACCCACATGGCGGTCGAACTTCTCCAAGTCTCCACTCTCCTCAAAGGCAAAAAAGGAGCCGAGCTCCTTTCTACATGAGCTGAATTGTCTTGGTCCCCCGTCCCCTTGCGAACCACATCCTCGCATACTTACAGACCTCGTCTCCGACCTACTCGTCTCCGTTTCTCGGTGTTGTTTGGCTTCTCAGCCTGCATTTTCACCTCATCCTCTGCGAGCCGAGACGATGACTGCTGATAAGCCCGCGCCCAGTCCCAGTGCTGGATCCCGAACCCACAAGTCGTGCGATGCTTGCAAGTCACGCAAAGTCCGATGTCCTAGTACGTGACTCGGGAGAGCTCATTGCCATTCCTTTACCTCAATCACGAACTGACGAGTTGCTTTTATCAACAGGTAACGGTCCGCCTGGACCTTGCGCGAATTGTATCGTGAGTGAAACCAACTGAACTCTCTTCCCTGACAAGACATGCCTGTTTGCTCACAATCTTTAAACCTGGAAGCGTCGGAAAGAAGATTGTCGCTTCAGTGTAAAAAGGCTAGCCCACAGGCGCAACGGTAAGCACTGGCAACCAAACGCCCGCCATACGACGTTTACACTCTTTTTGAGGAGCAAGCACAACAACTCCGGACGGTTTTCTGTGGCAGAGGATTCCAAAGTACTAAGTAAACTATTAGTTGCCGGACAGCTTCTTCCAACAAATTACTCACCGTCGAGTAATCGACCACCCAGTCTCCCAGACGCCAAAGCCGTGCTGGACCTGTCAACATCAGATGGAGAGACCAAACCATTAGTTCTCCCGGATCGCACGTCGCCAAAATCGCCTCCCCACCGCATCCAAGAACTCCACGTCGATCGCGTCCTAGCACGAGCACAGAGACCAAAGACGTCAGGCACTGGAAGAGGCCAGGAGGAAACCATGTTTGTACCAGTAAGCGCTACCAGTCAATATTCTCAGTAATTGTGCCCAGTTGTGAGTGAACTATAAGCTGACAGAGATCCCACAGCGCAATGGCATTTTTGGTATTGAAGCGCCACATGCCCTCAGTGGCCTGCACGTACTAACAGATCAAGGGGGCCGGAACAGCCTCACGTTCTTCTCCGACAATAGGCTACTGTCTCTATCGACGCGCCTCCAAAACCAAAAGGTGAACGAGCTCGTTGGACGAATTTCCGTCATTGTCAATGGACGGCTTCGTCGCACCGACCCGACAACTACGAATTCCCGAAGGACGCAACCTCCCGACATGTGTACCGACAGAGCGCGTGCCGCCTTGTACATCCGCCGTAATTATTTGCCATGCTCCCTTCTGTAACCCCTATTGAATGTGGTGAAAGCTAAGCATGGCCAGTCTACTTTGAGCGAGTGCACCCCATGTTCCCGTTCCTTGACCGCACGACTTTCGAGACTACAGTGTCAAGTCCCAACTTCCCCAATCTCCTCGAACGCAGCAAGCCGTGGTGTTGTCTCTACCATAGCGTCCTTGCTTTAGGGTCCCAGTATGCTGATGGCGGGACATTCGAGCCTGGTAAGGGCGAGTCGTGGCGGCTGTTCTCTGTCAGCTTGAGTGGCTTCTCGGAGCTCCTGCTGCTTCCCGATTCTCTCACCACCTTGCAGGCATTGACGGCGATGTCTGTCTATGGCTTAGGGATCTCGGGCTTGGCTGTCGAACCTGTTATCATGTCAGAGGCGGCAAGACGGGCTCAGATGATGTCCAGTCATAGCTTTACTGGTCCAACGGCTCACGCTTATCAGAAGTCCTTCTGGATTCTCTATGCGGTTGAGAAAATCACCAGCTTCCATTTCGGGAGAAGTTCCGTAAGTACCCGAATTCCCTTTTCTTCACCACGATAATGTCATTCTTCAGCGGATGCACACTTCTCTTTACTTGCTCTGCACTACTAACACCGACAAGGGATTCGTCGATAGTGACATATCCTGTCCCATTCCCGTCGTTCCCGAAGCAACATCGGGAGACTTTAGCTGGTTCCTGCACCTAGTGCGCTTCGCTCGCCTCCTTTCTCGAGCATATACATCGCTCTTCTCGGTCGGCGTGTCGGGTAATTCCGACTCATATTACCTCGACGTGATTGATCAACTGAATGGTGAACTCGAGGAGTGGAGAGCATCTCTGCCTGACAATGGCTTCCGCCCGGGCGGGATTTTACGCCCTCAGACTGTATCTGGTCCCAATGCGCGATCGCTGGCCCTCATCCTCCATTATCTCTACTACAGCATGCTACTGACTCTCGCGAGAACTACGCTGTGTTATCTGCCTGTTCCTGAGACGTCGGCGGTGACGGCGACAAAGGACGACAAGATGAAGACCATTTTGAATGCATCGAGGGCCATTTTGGAGTTGACTACGATGATTGAGGTTGAGCCATACACAGTCACATGGTGAGTAGGGAGCGAACTTCGCACTACTCGGTTTCCCTGCCTGGCCGTTATCATCAGATCAGTGCTAACAGCCCCTAAGGGTCCTTGCGGGAATCCCCATTACAGCACTTTTCGTCTTATTTGACCTAGTCATTCATGATCCTCGGCAGCCAGATACAGGTACCAACCTGGCCCTGCTCGACATGGTTGCTGGTCACTTCAGCCGGATCGAATATGCTAGCGGCGGCACCGTGCCCGGTTCTTTGATAGCCGAGTTCGCCAAGATTGCGCGGGACTATGTCAACGAGATTCAGCATGCCGAGGCTGGGTTGACAAATCCTGCGAGACCACACGCACCCACGAATGCTTCCGCGATGCAAATGGTACCGCAATCGGCAGAGCTCGATGCCGGGAATAGCAAACAAGCGGCTGGGCCAACACAAATGTCTCTAGACCTTTCCGATGTAAGTTTTTAGTCTTTCAGGTTCTGCCATCATCCACGAGGAACAAAAGGCGTGGCTAATAATCGTTTGTGTTGAAGACTATGCCGAGGGAGGCCATGATGTCTGGTCCGATGCAGCAACCAGGATACACCGACTTTGCGTTCGACAGCGGGATGGGCCAGGTATCTCCCAGCGCGCTTATGGGAACCGACGTGATGGGAATCTTTAATTATTTCCTGCCCGATCTGGACCCTATGTTTTACCAGGGTATGACGCAGGAGTACGATCTGCTACCACAGCAGCATGGGGGGACCGTCCAGAGCATGGAGAAGTGAGATGATGCGGACGGGGTCCAATTCTTAATTTCCGTCCGTTTACCAGACCGCATGCAGCGTGACATAACCTTATTTTTGGAGCTATAATAATGCGTGCCCCCAACGGATACTAGCAGATACCTTAGTTGCTACGTCCGGCAGTCGACATCGTTGCTAGGCATAATGACGAAATGCTTATGAAGAACAAAATCGAACGTTCGCTGGACCATCCCTCCAGGATGGAAAAGCAGGTAAGACGGCGTGTGTGTGTGTGGGTGGGTGGGTGGGAGATGACTTGTTCTTCGGTGGCAGTGAGCTCCGGGATCCCGGGCTTCGCTCCGGTCCGCTGCAAGGATCAGCCGGGTCTCGGACGGTCCAATGCAGCCTAGCGTCTCCTCCAAAGTCCGTTTGGTGGATCCCAAATGTCGTGGCCCCCTGTCTTTTTTCCCGCAGAAAAGCGGCACGTTTAAAAGAGTGTTGCCGCCAACAGAGCAGAGCTCAGAAGAGAAACATATCATGCGATGAACGACAACAACTCACACACCTCTCTGATCTCTAACGAGCCCCATATTCTCATCTGTAGATCTTGATGGCATCCGAAAGCCCAGCTTCGCAGGCGAGTACTCCGGCAGGCGACAAACCACGCAACGTCTTGGCCTGCGTCTTTTGTCATCAGCGCAAAATCAAGTGTGACCGAAAGTCCCCCTGCGCCAACTGCATAAAGGTTGGTTTGTCATCGTCTCACTCACCCTTCAGCCGATGAACCCGAGGTCTACGCAAACCCACACCGAGGCGCAACGCATACTCACTGATGTGACTACAATAGTCTGATCAACCGTGCGTGCCATCGACGCGAGCACCACCAGGAGCTGGTAGAAGACGTGTGGTGAAGGACCTGTTGGAGAGATTGAATCAGTGTGAAAGTCTTTTGAGCCAGGTGGCTCCGCGCGATGCCGATGGACGCCCCGTAAATCCCGATACGCCGAGTTCCTCGCGCGATGTGGCGGAAAGCCCGGCAATGTCTCACATAAGCTATGAGGAGGCCCGGAAACAACCCAGCTCGAGACCGAATGGCAAGATTGTCTGCGATGAAGGTCGGCCCACGTTTATGGAAAATCCGTTTCGCGGAAATGTCCTTGACCACGTAAGTGTATTCCGAAAACACCCCCAAGCGCCAGTGAAGGTCTAAGTTAAATCTAGCTCCAATTCTCCAAGCTCAGTCTCGAAGACAATGACACCGAGCAATCAACGAACCCGTCTGGTTCTACCAGCGTCTCAGAACGCGGCGACTCAATTCACCAGAAGTCTATGGACTTTGACATACTAGCCCTGGGACCAGTCGAAGTTCTGCGCCTGTGGCAGGTATTTCTGGAACGAGTCAACCCTATGATCAAGGTCATCCACGTCCCTAGCCTGGAACCTCTAGTCTTTGAAGCAGCAACAGACCGCTTCAACCTGAGCCCCGACCTCGAAGCCCTGCTGTGCTCCATCAACGTTGTCGCAATCATGGCCCTGTCGGAAGGGGAATCGATTCAAATGCTCAAACTCGAAAAGGCAAGAGCATTGCGAAATTCGATGTCTGCACTGAAGAAAGCCATGTCCAAAGTGGACTTTTTACGAAAGTACAACATGACCACTTTGCAGTGCTTAGTGCTGTACCTGGTAAGATGGCTATCCAACCTACACAGAAATCCGATCTAAATGCAGCGCTAGGTCTCCCTCCAGGGGCAATTCGATCGCCATGCCGCGTGGGTGTTGACTGGCATGCTAGTCAGAATAGCTCAAAGGATGGGCCTTCATCGTGACGGAGAACTTATAGGTCTTCAACCATTTGAGACCGAAATGCGCCGCCGAATCTGGTGGCAAATCATCATGCTCGAAACCAAATACGCCGTCCTCGCTGGATTTGGCGATACGCTCCTCCCGCCCAACTGGGACACAAAACTCCCATCAAACGTCAACGACGCCGACCTACTACCAGGCTCAGCAGAGCCGGTCAAGTCTCGCGATGGAGCAACCGAGATGGCATTCTGCCTCATGCTCTACGAATCACGCGCCTTCTTCTGCGACAATCCCATGCCGGAGTTCGAATCAGTCATCCTCAGCGGGGACAAAATCAGCCCGGAAAACTCGAGGAAATTCTCGGGCCAACCACATGTCCTCGACAGGTATCGACTCGCCTTGGACCAATACGACGAGAGACTAGCTGTAGCCGAACGACGGTTCTGTAACCCGACAGCAGGCGGGATCCACCTCGTTGCGAGTAAGATCCGGTCCTTCACGGCGCAGAGAATGCGTGACATGATCATGCACGCGCGAGAGCCCTGGGACGAGAACAAAGACGGCGGGGCGAGCCAGCAATCCTTCTTCAGAGCATGGGTCATCTCCTTTGAGAGCGACGTCAGCTGGTACGACACGATCGACGACAAGTTCACCTGGTATCTCAAGCTCCACTTCCAATCCGACGCCTTTACCGTCATGATTGAGCTCCTGCAGTGGCAGCCCGTCGGAACACTCGTCGACAGGGCATGGAAGGCCATCGACCGGCTCTATCACCACCACCCGGAGATGTACGACTTGAGCAGGAAGGATAACATGCTGCGTGCGGAGAATTTGCTTTCCGGTTGGGCGAGACGGGAGCTTGCGTTCCGGAATCTGGGCATGTCGTGCGACACGCCGCTCGTTGTGGCACGGTTCCGGAGCAGCGAGGTTTTCAAGCAGAAACAGCCAGGCGGTTTACCCGTGGAGCAGTGGCCGGCACCGACGCCGGATACTGCCCTATTCTCTGACATGAGTCCGTCCGACTTTGAGACGTTTGATGGAGGGATGCCTGGAGATACGCATGGTCCCAGCTTCAGTCTTTGGGGGGGAGGTGGGCCGGGACAACATGCTTTATGATGATAGTCCGGCTAGTTTGTGAGTGGTAAAGAACTGGGGAAAAGGTATTTGTGCGTTTCAAGCACTCGACCATGACTTAATGACATTGAAGACGGCTCAAGGATAGACTGGACCAAACACGGAGTTTATACCTTCACTTTTAGGGCCTCTAGGGCTCTGGGACTACCTACTTATGAATCGCCCCTCAGAATCCATTGATGTACTTTGTACATTATTTGGCTTGGCTTATCGAGATACTAAGTGGATTCATGCGCGAGCTTTACGTGCTACTGGCTTTAGGTAGACATTGAGCGGAATTCTATCCCACAAACCAAAGGCTCTCTGCCTCTGGATCCAGGACCCATTCCCTTCCGCCAGTTGAAGATCAAAGTCAAACACGATTCGAGCTAGAATCAACCTCATCTCTGCATACGCGAGACTATGTCGCAGAGTTATCAACGTCAGCGGCGGCATTTTTTCAATGGACAGACAAGGAGCTCTTACTTCTTCCCAATGCAGTTGCGCGGGCCAATACTGAATGCCTGAAGTGCATCCAAATGGTTATGTTCCTCTTTGCTGGTTTCCAGGAAACGCTCCGGCCTGAACTCCCAGGGCTTGGTCCAGTTATCTGGGCTATGGTTCGCGGACCATTGTTGAATCTCAACGAAAGTCTTAAAAGAAAGGTCGGGATTAGTCATCTGATGAGAATTTTGAAAACGAGACTTAGTGCGCAAGGATACTTACTCCTTGGGGCACATGATCTGAGCCTATCTGACATCCAAACTCCGGCACCTCTCGGATAAGGTTTGACGTCACTGGAGGATACATCCGCAAAGCTTCATTGAGAACAGCGAGCATGTATGACAGCTTGCTCACCGAGTTGATGGTGATCTCACTAGAATCGGTAAAGCTCGATCGGACTTCCTCGTTGAGCTTTTGCAAGACCTTGGGATTTCTCAAAAGCAGATATGTCGTGCCGGCCAGAGTTGTAGCCGTAGTTTCAGAGCCTGCGAGTACGAGAATAAGACCATTGGCTGACAGCTGTTCGAACGACAGGTTCTGTGAGTATGAAATTAGCGTTGATTTCTTCTCTCGAGTGGGATTCGGGGTTCCATGCCCATTCTTCTTTCTTCCTCAAGAGTCCCTCGAACAGATCTTTACGGTCCGGGTCCATGTCTAGACGCGTTTGCATCATCTTATCAGTGCTTTCGCGTAACTGCATCATCGCAGCAAGACCACCGATCCAAAAGAGGCCTTGGACCACAGGATCGAGACCGATATACTTCATCGCTGTCATGATGGCATTGTATCGGATAGTCTTGAAGATGAAGGCAATCCAGGGGTGGTAGTCTGAGCGATCGAGACAGCCAAACGATTGCGCAAAGATTAGGTCGCCGGCAATATCGAACGTTGTCCAGTTATACCAAGCCTCAACATTAATCGGCGCTTCTTTCCCGTCGCAGTTCTCATGCAAGCGAGAAATTAGTTTATCAATGTACTTCATGATAATGCCTTCTTGCGCTCGCATAGAGCTATCCGAGAAGCCGTGCGATAGCGCCCGCCGGTACCGCTGGTGCTCCTCACGCTCAGCATTTATGATACTCGTGGGCAGATTCTTGATTGTCGTAGAGAAGAGCTGCGACTTGGGAATCTCGTTCTCGGCCAGCTCTTTGCCGATCTGGAAGCCGTAGATGTCTTTCCATGCCGTCACGTCGGTGAAGGACAGGTGATTTGGGCTAATCCGCACTACGGGGCCGTACCGATCGTGGAGGAGCTGGGTTCGAAAGGCCTGATAGCCTATGGCATGTTGCCAGGCCCAGATTAGAGGTGAAGCGCGTTGGAGAATTGGTCCAGGAAATCTTCGGAGGGGATGGAGGAAGAGATTGTAGCCGGCTAACAAGAGTTGCCAGAGGACGGCCTGGTAAGTTAGCAATCTGATTCTTCAGTTCCGGAGTGGGGATCTCAATCTGTGTGGAATCACGATCACTTACTGTCCCTAAGGCAATGGCCAGGATATGAGAAGGATGCTCAGAGAGGATCGATAAAACGCCCGCCATTTTGGTAGTCAAATCTGAAAGTATCAGCTTTTCAAGTCCGGTAAGAGTCTTCTTACGTCCACGAGCAAAGTCAACCCCGCGTTGGCATTGACGCGTCGTTTATGCAAATTCAATCCCGAGTACGAGCCTTTCCGAGCTCCCCCTGGCGGCAAACATGTTCGCTTTTTGCCCCATGAACACAATACTTGATTCCGCGCCAACAGGTCGATCACCTTCCATTGAGGGGACGGTCTCTGCCTAGGCGCAAGTTTGGGGTCATCGGACGGTTGTTTCAATACCACGTTTTTTGCGCGAACCAATCCACTGTCCGGCTTTGTAACATTCATGCACGTAGCAACCGTAAATTTGCGCGGGGGAGGTTGAGACGGTTGGCCACCTGCGAGTGTTACTCCGCATTGGTGTTGCACAGCTGGATATCCTCGTCACAACCTAAAGTGCCAATATAGGGCGGCGCTCGTAGCATTGCAGATTTAGCGTTGGTGGGAAACCATAGTAATAGTTGCAAGCAGAAGATATATACATTGAGGGCTTTCGCGCTCGTGAACAATGACACAACTTGAAACATAGAAGGACCAGAGCTTACAGCTTCCAACTTTCTTACTTCCATCGAGGGATGTCAGATCCCAATGCCATAGGGTAAGTCTACCGCCAGGTGTTTAGGCGATGATTTGTTATATCAGCTGGAGCATCCAATGGTAATACTCGGATTACTGTATCCTTTGACTGAAAACTTGCTAGTCGTCTATCAAAACTCCGAGATAACGATGCCGGCCCCCTTCTCCTCCGCCATATCCAGAATAGCCGTCCCAATAGCCAGATCCGTCGTACTAACACCGATACTCTTGTAGATGATCAAGCCATCCTCCAATGTCGATAGCGATTCCAGCTTCTACCCTTGTTTCCGTGAAATCTCGATTTCTCCAATCTCCACTATGTACTCTGCCGCGAGCTTGCTCTGAATGATTTCGCCAGAATGTTGGAGCGCAGTCTCGCGGTCGTCGACCAGCACGGCGACCTTTGAACCTTGCCCGCGCAGTTTCCCACCAGCGGCGCTGATCGCCTGGATCAGCAGTTCTGGGTCTACTTCCAACATATCCGCCTGCCAGGACCCAACGGCAGATATGTATGGGTTTCTTTCCTTTCTTCCGTTTGTGACATAATGTGCCGGAAACACCGGGCTCTTGGTTCCGACTGTGCAGAAAATGGCGTCTGCGACAGCGAGGCGATACTGAAGTTGAGCATCATACTCGGAGCTAGAGGAACCCAAATACTCAAAGTTGGCGGTAGACTTCCAACGAGCTTGGTTCTCCTCCTTCAATCTCGAGATGAGCTGCTGTGCTCGCTCCGCGGACCGATTCACCACGGTAATAGTCTTGATCTCGTCGCCCCTCAACGATAACGCAAAGCGAAGATGCCACAACGCTTGCTTGCCGGCACCAAACACAACAATGTTGTCAGTATGGCGCCGCCATAAGTACGGCACGATGGCAGAGAGCGCCGTGCGATATCCTGTCATCTCTTCCGCGTTGATGATGCCTAGGGGTAGACCGTCCTGGTCGCAAATGGAGATGATGCCGTGCAAGCTGTTGGCTGCTGGAGATGACGGTGCCGGGGTAACGACAATCTTAGTTCCGAAGGCGCCGGCAGAGCTGAAGGGTCGAAATAGGCATTTCGTGCCCTCAGGCCTGTTTACTATCGACGCATCGGGCTGATAGTCCCGCTCTGCACCCTCAGAGAGCTCTAGCAGCGCTCCCACAAGCCGATCTCGGAGCTGGAGAATGCCGTCTTTTGGAAGGTTAAGCAGAATATCGAGAACAGCGGCGTCGCTGAGGACTCTGAAGTTACCCATGGTGAATGGTAATTGAGGTGCTCAGGTTTGCAAAACTGTTGAACAGTCAAGATCATCAGGGGCTCGTAGTGCGGGGAAATCTCGTGAAAGAGACACGGATACTAGTATGTTGACAACGTCAAGATCTTATCAGGAGCTCGTGACTTCGTGACAGTCAGATGGGTCCAAAAAGATAACAAATATGATAAGATGCATCGATAGGTTCCGTACTTAGGCAGGTTACGGCCATTGTGTGTGGATTCAACCGCCAGACTCGGCGAGACCTACCGGATTTAATCCCACCGGCACGGCATCCGATGCGGGGAAATGGGTCGTTGCGGCGGTTAGCTGAGCCGCCGATCGGGGTCCGTTGTGGGCTCCAGTGTACCGAATGCGAGCGGCTTGTACGAAAATTCAGGCACAATACCTGGAGCCGGTTGCTAATCCGTCCACGAGCCTCCGTTTCGACTCTTCGGCACAGAAACCGTTCTATTCGATTTCTGTGAGCCTGTGCCTGTGGATGAGATGACTATGGCCTTTAAACCTACTAGTACCTAAGAGGTAGTACTTATAGGTTTGAGTATGCATCTGCGGATATCTTGATCGTGAGTTGACTCTCCCTTTCATCCATCTATCATTTGATACGTTGAACCATCAAGCCATGACTATCGGCCGTACTTTCAATGTCGTCGGCGCCCACTGTGGCGGCGAGGTCTGCGACGTCATCGTTGGAGGCGTTCTCGATGTCCCAGGCAAGACAATGTTTGAAAAGATGATGCATTTCTGGAAAAATGCAGACCACCTACGAAACCTGCTGATGAATGAGCCCCGCGGCTCATCATCCATGTGCGTTAACCTCGTCCTTCCACCGTGCAACCCCGAGGCCGACGCGGGCTTTATCATTATGGAGCACGAGGAGTACCCCCCTATGTCTGGTGCCAACACTATCGCCGTGAGCACCGTCCTGCTAGAGACCGGCATGGTACCGATGCAGGAGCCCACTACGACACTGCGCCTGGATACGCCAGCCGGTTTGGTCACGGTCAAAGCCGAGTGCAAGGACGGCAAGGTCACCTTTGTGGAGTTCCAAAACGTTCCGGCTTTTGTCTACGGCCTAGATCTGGACATTAAAGTACCAGGCTTCGACACACCCGTCAAGGCCGACATTGCGTGGGGTGGAATGTGGTATGCGCTGGTCGACGCGAACTCAGTAGGCCTACAGATCAAGACGGAAAATGGCAAGGAATTAGTCGACATTGGCGAGCGGATCAAGAGGGCTATCCAAACGCAGACGAGCCCGGTGCACCCTGAAAACCCAGAGATCCGAGGCGTCAGCGTCTTCGAGTTCACAGACCCGCTCTCACCCTACGCGCCGGACACGCAGCAGACGGCCGTCAACACGGTAGTGGTATCACCGGGAAGACTCGATCGGAGTCCGTGTGGGACAGGAACGTGTGCACGACTGGCGGTTCTCCACAAGAGAGGCCAGCTGGCAGTCGGAGGATCGTTCCGACACCGCAGCGTGATTGGGACCGAGTTTATCGGAACAGTAAAGAGTGAGGCAAAGGTCGGGGACTATGATGCTATTATCCCCGTGGTGAAGGGAACTGCCTGGATAACGGCTTTCAAGCAAGTCATCTTGCACCCCACAGATCCATTCCCGGAAGGGTTCAGGGTTGGAGATAAGTGGCATGTCAGTTAAAAGATTCATGTCCCGTAGATCTTGGCAACTTTTGTACATGTCATTTAAGTGATCAGCACAAGTCAATTTACCCTCTTTTTCTCCAAGACTTCTTTTTGTTTCAGCCTTCTCTAACAGACTCCATCCGCATTCTGCCCGTCTCAATGTAGGTCAGGGGCGCAGTCACATATTCAAGCCATAGCCAAGCCAGGGTATCTTGTACGCATGCTACAACGCATCAAGGTCCGAAGCATTCAGGAATAGAACTAGTGGGTATATTTCAAAACGCGTGGATCTAACTGGATCGTTCTCCCGCGGACAAATTTGCTCGCCTAACCCATTTGATCATGCGAACATGAGGCTCAATGGGCCGAGGACACGGAATTCGAGTTGTCGGCGCAGGAAAATGCGGCCGATCCACCAGACTTCTTGTAGCTGTCCATGATTCCAACAACTGAGCCATACGCTCCAGCAATCATCAAAAAGGTGCCGCTAATAACAACGAAGCAGCTGAAGCAGACCATAGCGATCCATCTAGGTCTCTTCTCGAGCTTTCCCTCGGCCCAGTGGTCGTACAACCACATGCAGCCCATGGGCTGGAAAGACAATAGAGTACCGAAGAGAGCACCAACAAGGGACACCAGGCCATCGAAAACGGGAATGGAGCTAGCGATGACGTAGGCGGTGATGGCGATGCTTGCAGTGCAGGCGAGCCAGATACCCCAGTGCTTCATGGTGTTCTCGGTCAAGTGACGGGATCCACGGAGAAGGCGAATGAAGATGTACTTGGCGGGCAACTGAGGACACAAATGTTAGCATTGATGCTTGCTAGTAACCGGGTTATAAGTTTGGGGTTTACTTACGTGAATAACCAGAGTAGTGGTAACAATCAAGCCAGGGAATGCAAGACCGTAGCAGACTCTCTTCATGGTCGCCCCGGCGGAGCCAAGAGCAGGCGAGGCGACGTAAGAACCGCAGAAGTAGTACACAACGCATCCAATGGCAATGTAGGTGGCAGTCACACCACCCTGGCAGATGACCAGAGCGCGAGTATAGTGGCGAGGGTCGCGCATCTCAGAGACGATGGAGAAGAAGGCAGGGGTACCGGCGAAGGCAAAGACGAGCGTCGAAAGCGCCGAGGAAGCCTGGGCGAAGGTCGGGCTTCCGACAACCTTGTAATCCGAGGTCCAGTGGCCAGTCTGGGGAGCGGCAGCCGGTCGATCCTGGACACCCACGGCAACGGTGACGGTGAAGACTGTGTATGCATGGTCAGCTTCTGAGATCTGGAATATCTTCCAAAAGGGTTTAGTGGCACTCACTGGCAGACATGATGCAGATGAGACCGATCCAGGCGAACCAGGTAATCTTTCCGAGGGTCTGGATGCTACCGAAGCAGAAACCAATTGCTGCGGCAATGGCGACGAAGCCAGCTGTGCATGCACCGTGAAGTGAAACCGAGTTGAGCGCGATCGAGGCACCTAGCATGCCAGAGCCGGCAACGAAGATCCAGTCTGATTGGAAAAGAGTGGTTAGCCTCTCATTTACCTTTCCAGCGGTTGATAAACTTACAAAGGCAGAAGACGATGCCGAAGAACTCGCGACCCACGCGGCCAAAGAGAAGGCGTCCAACATCGTCGATACCGTAGACCTCAGGGTGGCGAAGCTTGAAGACACCAACAATGTAGTCGGACCACGTGGTAATAGCGGCGATGCAGCACAGAGCAATCACACCAGGCACAATTCCGAGGACGTCAAAGACACCTGGAATGGACAAGACTCCCAGGCCGATCTGCGTCTTCATCATCAAGGCGACTGTTCCTTTCCAACCAACCTAATTGAGCGAATTAGCATCCAAAGGGAGGTTTAGGCGTTACAAGCCGAAAGATTTTCCGGATCGCTCCTTACGTTGCGGTAGTTGGGGCCGCCCTCTTTAATTTCACCAAAGACAGCATCGTAAGACGCGTTCGGGTCTTCCAAGACCTGGCCTTGTTGCGAATGTGTTGAGACGGGTCCCAACGCCTCGATATCCTCTTTGTTCTTCTGCGTCATCTTGGCAGTTGATGAAGATATTTTCACGTGATGTTGGCTCGTATGCGGTCGATCAGGCAAATGTGACTTTAAAGTCTTTACAGACACAGGTCACACGCGAAGTGGGAATTGTCGTCGAAATGATCTTTTAGACTAAGGTACTGAGTCCAAGTTGGAAGGACAACCGAATTGAAGAGTCAAGAGTTGTTGTCGTTGGTGATAGTCGTTGACAGCTCAAGACGAGGAATGAGTGGCCAAGCAAATGTTAATATGCATTGACACTGAAGCGAAACTGGTAGCTCACTAGAGAGATTGATAGCTTAGAGGCATGATGAGAAGACCCATTCCCAAGTAGGGACTGGGAATGATGCGCTTTTGTACAAAACCAGTCCAAGCGCGGCCTTCTCTACAGCCTCAAGTCCCAGCCAGGAGGAAAAGCCGGCAAGGGCTGCCAAGATTTCCCTCTCTATCAGCCTGACAGGCTTCCTCCTGCACGAGGTACCAGATAGTCTGCTATCGCTTGAGTTAGATTACGCACCGGTTAGGTAGAACATACCCCATATTTTCCCCAGACTGCCTTCCAACGGGGGGCTCCTACGTCACAGCGGGACGATTTCTTTTCTCAAGGGTTCAGGGGGAGAGAAATGACTCGCGCGGCATTTCTCGGTGAGTTGCCTAGGGACAGACCACGGTACGCGGTATTGCTGAACGCGTTTGCACAAAAAAAACGTTGGCGTGGGAAATATGCCTCACTAGGGTTGATAACTCGACCAACATGGGATGACCGGGTGCCATCCCGATATCTTCCTCCTCATCATTAATGCTTGCGCTGTTGTAGTCAATGTTTTCACCTGGCATCTTGTGTATCTTCAGCTGAGGGAACCAACATTCCACTACCTCGTGCCGCACCACTGTGGGATGGGATATCGGACGGAAAGGCCGGATAAGAGTTGTCCAGGCCCATGGACCGCACATTCGGATTTCCACAAAACGCCGCAAAGAGTCAAATGCAACCATGGACAGTCGTGATAACATGAAATGGGCCAAATCTTTTGCGCCCCTTGTCCAGAGACAAAAAGTCGCTTCTGCCGTACAAAGTCGCGCCGTCGCGAACGCTTACCCGCTCTAGCGCATACAAGCGGAGGCGCCGTCGGCACGACTCGCGGTCAACTTCCTCAAAGCAAGGATTCTTTCGCTGCGTATACCCCTGCTGGAGCGGAGCCTCCGTTTCAAATTCACACCATCGGATGCTCACCCGGTAAACCTCCCGCCCCATCTTGACAAAGTCGGGAGGTCATCCCGACGGCAGAGAGTTGACTTGCCCCTTTCGAATTCAAGTTCCTCTCATGTCTTGCACACGCCACCGCGCCACTACAGACCCGGCACATGAGGGAGGGCGTGAGACTCAAAACTCCAGTCCAGAGCATGGTCCTTCCCCAAAGTCAAACTTCACGATGAGTTTCTCTTAGTCACGCGTGCAGCACTAACGTTGCCAATGATGGGGTTTCAAGCCTCGAGACGTTGGGTTGACTTCCGCTTCCCCATGGGGAGAAGAAAAACCACATGAGATGACGATTGCATCAACCCCGTTAGCAATTGGAACTCCTGGGGATCCATAGTGCTGCCACCATGAACCCGGAGACGCGGAGTTTGAGATTTCTCGGATGGCGGGAAAACCTGCATTTCGGCGACAAATGAGCCATCATTCGACAACCACTTGGACCCCCAAAAGCTGCATCAGACTAAGGTGCTTTGTATTCGGGCGGCCCGTAATTGCTGATCGACTAGCACAAGAGCATAAAGTATGACAGCAGGTAATTGACAGGCTCAACCAAAGTTTCTCGGGGCGTGAAACAAACAGCACAGCCCTCAGCCCTCTTTCTCGGTGCTTTGCTATCTAGAGACCCACGAGCTATTGATAGTGTTGATAGAAACCTTCCGTCTTGGTCACTTTGTATCGTCGTATCCCCCGCATCCATAGAGGAGAATGCTTCTGTCAGACCTTGTTCCCCATTGGCAGACACCCAGAGTTCCCACCGACGGGCAGATACCTATCAAGACAACACGACGACTCGACGCAACCATGCATGCGAGGGAGGCATGTGAGGTTCCCAAGGTTTCCAGTGTATCTCATGTGGCATCCTTCTGGAACGCCTTAGCCTTCATCCAGCGCGGCTACTCTCAACACGGCATGTGTATGGAGTATGGTATCTCGTAGCCAAGTCCCTACGCGGGCCGCCCAGCGTTCCGGCATCGGTCCTAGTCTACAAGTCTTGCATATCTCAGCTACTACTTAGTATCCGTACAGAAACCGAACACCTACTTATCGCCGGTGCCATCTCGTGACATTTTCCCGAGACTAAGATAGATGCAGATAAGCCGTGCCCCCCTGGCCCGAGAGCCCAGAGCCCCATCAATTCGGTTCCACCAGGACCACTACCCCGCGTTCTCCTTTGGCAAAAAAACGTCACATCACAGTTGAGGCTCGCCGGTACCATACAGCAGAGCACGCGATTTCCGCAGCCAAAGAACACAGACAACCCTTTTATGCCTGTCTAGTTGCCCTATTCTCTACCTGGCAGCTCAAGTATAAGCCTTCCTAAACAGTGAAATGGAACCTGGAGCCGGCCGAAACAAGGTATCCAAGCGGTCGTCGAATGCGTAAGTTTGCCCGAGCCAACCACACCTACCTCAATTTCCCTCCCTTGTCAATTGGCAGCGATCGCGTACGACTTACACCATTCGATATCTAGCTGTGTACGTTGTCGTCGACAGAAAATCAAATGCTCAGGATCTCAGCCGTGCGATGCATGTGGCAAGCGCAAACAGTCCTGCACCTTTGACGAAAGGGATCAAAGAATCGTCGTCACCAGAGGGTAAGTAATAGGGCCTGGCCTTGCGACCAACGATTAGATCTAGGCACATGTCCGGCTCACCATCCGTGTTCTAGCTACATCATCGACCTTCAACAGAGAATTGAACGGTGGGAGCGGAGCCGAAGCACCAATGAGCCAGCCCAAGTGTCAATCGAGGGCGGCCAGCGTCCCGATAAAGGAGGAAACAGTTGGTTATCCCTAATTATCCCTACTTTGCATTGCAGAGAACATGTCTGAGCTGACAGTAGGAGATGAGAGCGACGGTGATTTGCCCATGAGGGATGAATCAAGTGGCCCGATCATTGCAGATGGTACGCATGAAAAGGAAAGTCAGGAGACTCGGCCTAAAGCGCCAATAGATCCTGTCGCATCGAACCTCATCAACCCTCTGTCCACTGGACAGTCAGAATACACATCAGCACCAAATGGAAGGCTATGTAAGTCATCTATATTGCAGCTCATCACGCTGATAGCAATGAAGCCTAACAAGAGGACAGTCTACCTGGGGACGTCATCCAACTGGTCTTTCACTCGACGAGTCCTCAACATCACACATCAATACGTTCACAAGACGCCATTGCCGTCTAATGCTCTTCTCTTTGATGGCACGACGTACGCCCTCGATTGGGATGGCTACAGAGCCAGCGAAGCCCCCGAGATGCCAGCCCTTCCGACACAGGACTATGCCATCTACCTGGTCAACGCCGTCAAGTTCCACTGCGGCCAAATGTTCCACCTCTTTGACGAAGAAACGTTTATGAAGTCCCTGTACAGCTTTTATTCTGACCCTAATCCTAGACCCGATCCTACCGATCCGTGGTTCATTCATTTCTTGCTCATTCTTTCTTTCGGAAAAGCCTTCACGACCAAGACCAACAGGGGGAGCAGACCCCCTGGCCATGATTTCTTTGTTAAGGCCATGCAACTGCTCCCAGACTTCAGTGTTTTGCTGAAGAACCATGTTCTGTCAACCGAGATCATGTGTTGCATTGCTCTCTACACGCAATGCATCGACTTCAGGCACTGTTCATACAACTATGTAAGTTACCTCTTTGTTCTCTGCTATAATAAACTATATTGATGACGGGATACTAGATCGGCCAAGCACTTCGCATAGCCCTTGGAGAGGGAATGCACACAGACATGCCTGTCCAGCAACTAGGAGAGGCATATGTGGAAAGATGTCGGAGGTTATGGTGGACTGTACACATCCTTGACCGCGAGATCACATCATTGTTTGGCATGCCGCCTTCGATACATGATGATTATGTGCTCTGCCAACTTCCAACCTACTCTGGTTCAGTTCAGAGGACAGCCGCGCTGCGAATGCGTATCAAACTGTCAAAGGTTATTGGGAGCATCAATAGGAGTATGTGACCCCTGGTCAAACTCCGCCTGGACAGATAAAGCTAACAGCGATACCAATCAGAGGTCTACGGTCTTGACGGAAGACTCAACAACAAGTTCATGCTTGGCACCAAAGAAGTGCTTGCCAGCGTGGCCGAGATTGCTGATGAGCTCCAACAATCGTTTGCGCTGCCTCTGGAAAAGGATACCAGCTGCATTTCGAGAACATCCGCCCATTTGCATTTACTGCATCATCAGGTATGTCTACTTCGATTGTCAGAAGGGCATTAGAAACGAGCTAACGTGGCTGCAGTGCATTGTTCTTGCAACTAGACCGCTGCTTTTCTGTTTTCTGAAAGTTCGTTTTGAATCGCAGAGTAAATGCACAGAGCTATTGGGGTCTTCGCAGACGGTTAGAAATTTGATTCAGATGTGTATCGATTCTTCTCAACAAATGGTTTCGATCCTAGACTGTTTGCAATCTCAAGGGTTGCTGGGTAAGCCGTCTCCAAGATTGATTGAAAATCAAGTGCTTCAAGACAAACCAAGCTAACCTTGAATTTCCAGAAACCTTTCTCCCATTCGACCTGGAGGCCAGCTTCGTGTCTGCTAGTAGTCTACTACTTGGACCCGCAATCGACCCACAATGCTTTGAGTGCCTCGACCCGTCCCTGGAGAAAGTCTACTCCGTTTTGGACGAGATGATCATGGCCGGCAACGGGATCGCCAAGTACCGCAAATTTGAACTACAGCAGCTGGAGAACATGCTACAGCGGCTTACGCCTTGGCCTTCACAGGCATCTGAGCAGACGACTCTAGTAGACGAGGGGCGGCAAACCCACCCCCCAGGTGACACGAGTCCCCAAGACACGGTGGTCTCAGCCATGGCGTCGGAACACTCACAGCATGAGAGCTACTCTTCTTCCATCCCGGGGAACATGGATGAGATGGCTTATGATAGCGGGCTGACTATGGCGCAACTACTGGATATGGCCAACTCTATTGAACAGGAAGATTCAGAGTGGATGTCTCAGACGATAGTGGAACATAGCATTTGGTAGATCAAGAAGACCTGTCAAAGTCATGACGGCGTTGCCTCCCATTTTGGAACCCTGCCGAATGTACATGTACTTGCTTTTGCTCTAGAGCTCATACTTGCCCATAAGTCCAAGTGACCTCCGTATCACAGCTAATCTGACCGGTAGCCAGTCCGAACATCTCAAGGCCGAAGTGTACTTGTAGTTTGACATCCATCTTTCACTATCATAGGATCGATCTCCGAGGATGGGGCCTGTCAACTGCAATGGACAACTCGGAGAGGAAGCCGGTCATTTTACTCTGAAGCATGACTGATGTAAGTCCCGTGTTCTTAGCTCTTTACAGAATCAGATATCAACGCCAAGGGGTTCCTCTTGATAAACATGATTCATGAATGATAAGACACTGCTATGGGGATAAAAAATCTACAGCTTCGATGTCCTTGCCTGGCGGATCTTTGCAAACTCCTCAGTGTTTCCGAGGCGCCAGCTGACGGTATCACCCCACTTCCCTGCCTCCTTCTCCTGAGGTTCCTTCCAACGCCACCTCGCGACTGGCTGCTTGTTATCAGGGGCCTCCAGAAGGTTCTTGACCCAGTCACCCACGAGCGGGATCAGCTTCGCGGCGTGACCCGAGTCACCAGACATGAGCACCACGGAGTCAGTCGATTTTGGAACGTAATCGATGATGAAGTCCGAATCAGCCGTGTCAGCGAACCAGCAGATTGTCTGCTTGACAAGCGGACGGTCCTTGAGTGCCGGAAGCGTTTCCGCCAGCAGCTGCCGAACCTTGGCCTGATCGTGCGGTGGCATGAATTGGCTCTCCTCATACGCCGGCGGAAGTGAGATTCCCGTCTTGGGATCCGTGTTGACGTATCCTCCGCCCATGGGGCACAGCTTGAGCAGGTTGGTCTTCGGATCCGGCTCAAAGTAGAAGCCGAGATCGCGCGCGTATGTGACGGGGATACCGCGGAGCGCAGATGTCTCGTCGTCTGTCAGTTTAACGTGAGCGACAGACCAAGACTTGGCGACAACCTGCTTGCCGCATTCTGGGACCAGTCTCGCCGCTGCCGCGCCGGTAGCAACAATTACAAGCTTCGCCGAAATTTGACTGCCAGTTTGCGTCTTAATACCGGTCGCCTTCCGGCCAGCGCCAGTGTTCTGGTATACGATTTCCTGGACGCCGCCATGCTGTCCGAGGAAAAACTTTACGCCCCGTACCCGGGTGGCGTCGTAAAGGGCGATCAGGGCATTTCCGGAGTGGACATACCCGTCAAACTTGTTAAGGTAGCCCTTCCAGCCGGAACACGGGCCTTCGCCGTACTGCCAGACATTATAGTTGATGTCCTGGCCACCTTTGATGGGCACAACGTACTTTGCGAGAAGGGGGTGGTCTTCTGAAGCCTTCTGGAACCTGTGCAAAGTCTCGGCGGCCCGCTCAGGGGCGTTGGCCGAGACGCAGTGAAGGAACCCTACCCTGTGAAAGGATGGTGCGAAAAGAGGCGTTTGCCATGCTTTTGCGGCTTCCTGTTGCTAGTTAGCGAGGGCCTTCATCTATGATGAGACAGCTGACTGGGGTTCAACTTACTATGGTGAGATTTGTGTAAAAAGGGTCCTCGTACTCAGCCCTGAAGATCTTGTTGATGTCGTTGGCAGCAGAGTCTCTTGGGGGTATTTGCTCGTGCTTATCGAAAACGGAAATGTCCGTGTAGCCAGCCAAAGACAGGTGGTAGGCCGTGGAAAGACCAAAGGCACCGGCCCCCACAATGATGATTGGGTCGGATTTGCTGATACCCATGGTGATGGTTGGAGGCTAAGACGGAGATTAATGACGGGCTTGTGCGAATGAAAGCACTGTTGATTCAGTGTGAGTACAGGGCCCTTGAGCAGCACCACTAGCCATTGAAGTATGATATCTTCAAGCAGTCGTATATGACCTTCCGTGATCTTTCCCAGGACCGGCTGGCTTCGGGCGCTTGCCCCGGCTTCGGATCCAAGATACTGGAGATACTCATGGCACCATCTCCATCATGGGGCAGTTGGTTAGCGTAGCCGCGCCGAGCGGGGTGGTGGCCGTGGTGGAATCAATGCCGTGTTACTCTGTACACGGCCGGGCAACTCGAATGGCCTGGAACTTATTTGCAGCACAAGAGGCGTGGCTCTATGTCTGGGCTATCGAGGCGGATGATGAGCCGATATCTGTCCAAGAGACATCGGGAGCTGACCCGGTGGTCAACCTTCACTTGATTGGTCAAACTGAATCGAGTGGAACTTTGACAACACGCCGGCCACCCAGCCGGTCATCCTACCGCCCACAGCCACAGCTTTCATGGTTGCGTAGTAATGTTCGGCAAAGACATCGATACAAAAAAGATGAGAATATGGTTAGCGATAGCGATATCACATGGTTTCGAGAAAATGTAGTCTCCCTATCGTTGGTGGAACTGACGCGCGATATGATGGTAGGCTGGTATCAGACTTGGGATCATGTGACTCCAGTTCTCCAAGACCAAACTACCGCTGTATGTAGTGATTCCCTCGACACCCCATGTCTGTCTGCATGTTACGTCACTTGTTAAAATCACAGGAAATGGAGCAAACCAAGGCCACCTCTTACTTCAGCGCCGCCCATACGATTCTTCTCTAGCAAGTGGGACGACAATCGCTTCAAGTCTCCGTATCAAGTCAAATCAAGCTGAGTAATTGCGTCTGGGACGATACTAAAATGCAAGGTTGGTGGTTGACAAGGGTATCTAAGCTACTTTGCACAATTTGTGGCACGACTCTCAATGTTCAAGAGATGGGGTGAATGTAAAATTTCTTTATTTTTGACTATCCCTAAATTACACAATGCGCCATTTTGCATGCAACCGTGACCGTAACCCATTCGGTATCCCACACACTGCACTTATTTGTTGCTGGGGTACAGGAACTCAGTCTGAGGGAAGAACTCCTCCTTGATCAATCTGGGGCTGACGAAGCGACGCATGACGTCTGCGCTTCCTGCCTTGTCGTTGGTGCCACTGGCGCGGGCACCGCCGAAAGACTGCTGGCCGATCAGGGCAGCGGTGGTCTTGCAGTCTGGGAAAGGGTATGGAGTTAGTAAATGGATACACACATTGACGTCTGTAGTGGGGAGGGGGAACATGGGTTAACTCACTGATGTAGAAGTTGCCTGCAGAGTAGCGCAGGGCATCCTCGGCCTCGCGGATGGCGCGTCTGTCGTTGGCGAAAACGGCACCGGTCAGGGCGAAGCCGCCGCCGCTCTGGTCGACCTTCTTCAGGGTGGAGGACCACTCGGCATCGGGGTAGATGGAGATGGCCAGGACGGGGCCGAAGATCTCCTCGTTGAATAGGCGGTGGTCCGGAGAGTTGGCCACGTAGACGGTGGGGTTGACGTAGTATCCGTCGGAGCCGTCGTAGGTACCTCCGACCACCAGCTTAAGAGAAGAGTCCTTATTGCTCTCATCGATGATGTTCTTGATCTTATTGAAGGAGCGCTCGTGAATGACGGGACCCATGAAGGCATCCAGCTTGCCGTCGGGGCTTCCGATGGTGATCTCCTCGACCTTGGACTTCAAGCTGGAAATGAACTCCTCGGCCTTGGACTCGGGGAGGTAGACGCGGGAGGTGGCGGAGCACTTCTGGCCCTGGTACTCGAAAGCGCCGCGGATGGTGTGGTTGACGGCGTGCTCGATGTCGGCGGTCGGGTGGATGAGGTGGAAGTTCTTGCCGCTAGTCTCGCCAACGACGCGGGGGAACTCGCGGTAGGTCTTCTTTCCGATCCCCTCGCCAATTCTGGCGTACAAGGAGCGGAAGACGTCGGAGGAGCCGACAAAGTTGAGACCGGCAAACTCACGGTGGTTGAGGACAACGTCGGTCACTTCTTCGGCGTCACCGGGGACGAATTGAATGACATTTGGGGGCAGGCCAGCCTCCAGGAGGATGTTGTAGAGGATCTGGCTGGCGTAGATGTTGCTGGGCGAAGGCTTCCAGACAACGACGTTGCCCATCAATGCGGGGCCAGAGATGAGGTTACCACCAATGGCAGTGAAGTTGAAGGGGGAGATGGCGTAGACGAAGCCCTCCAGAGGACGCCATTCCAGGCGACTAGATTTTTTCGTCAGTGTTGAATTCATTGAAGACCACAGGGTAGTTCACATACCTCCACATGCCGTCAGAGCCACGAGTGGGCTGCTTCTCGAGAATCTCTGCCGCGAAGTTGCAGTTGAGTCTGAAGAAGTCGGCCAACTCAGCAGCCGCGTCAATTTCTCCCTGCCACATGTTCTTGCCCTGGCCGAGCATGGTAGCCGCGATGAGCTCATAGCGATACTTGGTCACGGCGAGCTCTGCCGCCTTTTGGAAGATGGCAGCACGGTCGACGAAGGGGGTGTTCTGCCAGCTCTCCTTTGCCTCCAACGCCGACTCAATTGCTGACGAAACCTGCTCCTTCGATGCGAGGGGAAAGTTGGAGAACTTGGTCTTGTGCTCGGAGGGAAGGACGGTGTCGAAGGACTTGGCCGCAGCCTGGGTCTGGCCGTCGAAGAAGAGATCGCTCTTGGCGGGCAGCTGGGTGCGCAGCTTCTTGAGGGCCTCCTCGAGCTTTGCGCGCTCGGGCGAGTTCTTTGTGTATGTGGGCTGTAAAATAATTGTTAGCCGATCCATGAGTATGAGCCTTCAAATTGGACTTTTAACTCACGTTGGGCTCGTTTCTGGGGTCGGGAAGTCTGAATGGCGCAGTTGCCTTCGTCCTTCTTTGCGTAAGAGCAACGGGGGCTGTGGTAGGGCGCAATCCTGATCTCAAAGATCCAACTGGTCTCGCAGACCTAATGACGCTGCGGATTTGCATTCTGATTGATTTGATGGGTATAAAGCTCAAAGATAGAAAATAGTACACAAAGATCTCGTCTTGGTCCTTGAGGAGGTGATTATCGGTGATGAACCTATGCTTTGGATGAAGAGAGCTTGCTGTTACTACCTGAGACCATATGACAGCTTCGCAGTCTCATCGTCTTATTTGACAATGGCTGCTGCACTAGGCCGGTCAAGCTCCCGATAGCTCTATGGCATCGTGAACCAATCAAGACCACAATCGATGTCATCTTCACAATCACGCCGAGATCGGACGGGGGTTGATCCCGGAGCGGAGGGGTTGCGGACGCCCTGCCGATATCTACATGCAGGGCCCCCGCCGGTGCGGAGTCATGGCGCATTTCCCCGCATAATCGGAGGTTGGGGGTCTTTGACAGTTGCATCCGGCGGCGTCTGTTCCCGTGCTCCATCGCGGTTAGAGTCCTATCTTGATACATGGTGTTTTTACGTAGTTGACGATGGCTTCGCGGAGACAAGTCCGATTACGCTGCTACAGCCATGGGTTCTGATTGACAAGTATCAGGAAATACGGCGTCATGGCGAAGACAAATCAATAACAACAGTTGTGGGGCTCAGCTTTTACATCTTGCTCAGAAGGTAAGTTCAAAGCAGTAAAATGCTGCTAAAATCAGAAAATGGCTATCTATCACGGGCTATCCGTAGCACATCAGTCTCAGTTGGCGGAGTTGTGGGTATAGAATGGGCGTAGAATAGAGATAAGTAAGGCGTTAGCCACGTCTACCAAGCCTGGAAGACTATCTGCGCTCTCCTACCCAAAACACTCGTAAGAATGACTCGTCTCGAGACTCAACAAGGTCTGGTACACAACGACCACGAACCATGTTCCGTCTGGGGAAACTTGGCGGGTGACCTCGCGGCTGGCACCATCTCCGCAATCCTCATCTCTCCAGCAATCACAATCCTAGATCGGTAAGATAAATCTACCCAGGACCCTGGAACTTCTTTGACTAAACAAAAGCCGTTTGCAGAGCGGTAGTTGAGCGGACAACAACAGGGCGGCCCCTCATCCGAGGGCTCCACGCCCAACTACGCTCCGCCATCCGTCGACCCCGCGGCTTCTTCTTCGCCCGGCCCCTCGGGATCGTCTGGACCCTGTACGCAGCAACCTACGTCACAGCCAACGCCGCCACCACCGTGGCCGAGAGGTTCGATGGTGCAGCTGCCGCAGCGAGCACAGCTACCTTTGCCTCCACGTTCCTCGTCAACGTACCCCTCGGGGTGTGGAAGGACCTCCGCTTCGCAGAGATCTTTGGTTCCTCCTCCGGCGCCGCTCCCGAGGTGGGAAAGGCAGCAGTGGTGGCGGCCCCACGCAAGCTTCCCAGAGCCGCGACGGCGACGTTCCTCGTCAGAGACGCCGTCACCATCTTCGGGTCGTTTACGCTCCCGAACTGGATATCGGCAGCGATCCCGGACTCTGTCACGTCTTCCCCACATGCCAAGGCGACAGTCACGCAGCTGACGGTTCCCGTGCTGTCGCAAGTCGTGGCATCGCCGATTCATCTGATTGCGCTGGACTATTACGAGAGGCAAAGTAGGCTGCCGTTCTCTAATCGAGTCGCGCGGACTCGGGAGCACATGCCGTCGACGATCGTGATGCGCTGTGTGAGAATTATACCGGCGTTTGGTATCGGGTGTTTGGCAAATTTGGAGTTGAGGACTTTTTTCCAGCAATGGTTTTCAGTATATAAATAGCAATTGGTTAAGAAATAGACGAGATAAGAGCACTGAAAGCATTCTGCCGTGCCAATTACATTTCTTAGTCGTGAATCGCGATGTGTGAAAATGCAACTTTTGTATTGTAGATCGTCCAACGTCTAAACTAATGCCTGGTATCATTGGGGTGAGGATCGCTACCCATGAGACGAGCGACTGTCACAGCCTCTCTCAAAGCCTTTCCAAGGTGCCCTCTTACAGCCCCTTCCTCCAAGACCATCAGGCCTCCGATTGTGCACCCTTCCGGTGATGTTCCTTGATCTCTGAGGCTGCCTGGTTGCAGACCGCTCTGCATGAGTGTCGCGCTACCCAGCATAGACTGGAAGATCATTGTCTGCGCAAGATCCCTTGGAACACCGACAGCAACGGAAGCATCGATGAGAGCATCGGCGATAACTGCAAAGAAGGCAGGAGTGGAGCCTCCCACGGCAGTCGTAGCGTTCATCAGCTTCGGCGCAATCTTCACCGTCTTACCAATCTTATTGAAGATGGCTTCGGTGAGCTCCATGTACTTGGCGGGCACTGCTGGCTCCGAGATCTCGATCGCAGTAAGGGATTGAGAGACCATGGCCGCAATATTGGGGAGCGTCCGAACAACCCAAGCCCGGCCCTCTGTGTTCTCGGATGTCGTCTCGCTTCCGTATATCGTAGCTTCCAGCTTGCCTCGAGTCCAGCCAGCGGCTACGCTGATCAGAAGCTTGTCTTTCAAAGCCTCTTTCGTGCCCGGCTTGGACAGAACTTCTTCGACATCGGCGGGGTCCACTCCTAGCACTACAACATCCGACTTTTGTAAGGCGGCAATGTTGTCACCCCTTGAAACGACGAGCTTGTCTCCCGCACTGGAGAAGCGTGTCTTTAGGGCCTCTTCAGACTTTTCGCTCCGAACGCATGCGATGAATTGAGTGATGGGAAGGGTGTTGTCTTCCAGCAGTGATTTCAGAATAGGAATTCCTAGGTTACCTATGTACCGGTCAATAAGCACAGTACACAGTTCGGAGACGATCAATCGCATATGATAGTAACTTACCGCAACCCAAAATGCACAACTTGACATCCTTGAATGCTTCCATATTGACTCTCGTGGTCTAATGTGAGATGTGTACTGTTTGCCGGCTGATGAAAAGCTGGAGGATGAGAGGGATCTGGGCGGATTCTCACTTGATTCAAGTCGTTGTTTGTTCCAATACCTTTTCCGACCGACTGCTCTAGCTGAACTGATGAAATGCCCCTTCTACTATCTTGATGTGAATCAAGTGCGATAAAGCTACCCTGGTCCTAGCATCTACCCCTCACACCGGTGCTGAACGGGAGATCCCCCGCCACGAAGCTAATCAAGTGGGGTTGATATACGGGAGGCCATCCGACACAACAACATCTCACGCAGTCACGGCACTCTCTCTCTTTACTCGGAACATATCACAAGAGACCCACACATGTCAAATAAGATTGACGATTAACGAAGAAAGATCGATTTGCTATCTTTAGCCAACAGTCCGAGACCGGAAGAATCTAGACCGCAGTCTCCTGCCAACCTCCGCCTTGAGCGCCGCATACTCGTCTACCGTCCTGGAAACGGCATCCCGGTTCTCCACCGCCCTCCGCAAAAGATACGCCACGCACTCGCCCATGCTGCCCCATGTTGAGCACTTCCACACCTGCGGCGAAGGGTTCTGGCTCCCCTCCCCCTTGAGCGCCAGCAGCGAGAAGCTGACCTCGTCCGACATGCCCTGCAGCTGCGCGAAGCCGACCGGCACCGTCGGAAGTCCTTCCTTTAGTCTCTGCTGGTGGAGCTTGTGCGCCGTGACCACGCTCTCCTTATTGTGACTTGCCAGGAAGAGGTTGAGCGAGGGGAACGGCTTGCCGCCCGGGGCTCCATATTCTCCAATGTGCCGCCTCAGGGCGCCCTGCGCGATGCTGTTGTAGGCGTTGTCGGTGTCCTTTTTGGTGTCGTGAATCAGGGCCCGCTCGTCGGAGCCCATGTAGGCGCCTCTTACTAGCTTCAGACCGTGCGTGAACCCTTCTTGATTTGCCATCTCCAGGTGCTTGGCCAGGGTGGTCGGGGTGCTCTTGAGGTATGCCTGGTAGGTGTTGTAAATCGTAGCGTAGCCGTCGCGGTTAAATTTGCGCATCAGTTCCATGCCTGCGAGGAAGATGCCCCATTGGAAGTGTTGAGACTCCGCGTCAAGGAGGAGTCTGACGCCACGGTCTTTGCATCTTTGGCTCACTTCTTCGAGGGCTTGCATCATTTGTTGGGGAGGCAGCTGTCTTGCGGCAAAAGCCTCTGTGACACGAGGACCGGCTCCTGTAAGTCTGCAAGTTGGCGATGTTAGCAAATTGCGAGGTATCAGAAGGCGTATAAGTGAGTTTAGCTTACTTGAGAGCAAGTTGATCGCCATCACCAAGTAGATCGACCGTCTCTAAAACGCCTTGCCTCCAGGATTCAATGGTAGAATCGAGCCCGCCCTTTGCCATATCCTCCGAATCGATGCCCAAACCGTGCTCCACGTTTGTCTTTGCATCAAAAATGGTTTCTTTCGCGTATGTGAGAATTGTACCGCGGAAGCCCATAAACCTCAAGTGCTGCATAGTCTCTTTCGTCTCCTTTGGTGTCTCTCCCGCGCAGAACTGCTTGTAGAAAACGCTCTTGAGCAAAGAGTGAAGAACGGGGTTTCTGTCGACATCTGTGAAGAATCCTCTGTTTGGTCTTGTGAAGAATGATAGGGCTGCTAGTGAAGGGCCGAGAAGCATAGGCTTTGAGGAGATGGCAGAGACCAAAAGAGACCTCATGAGAACTGGTGTAGGCAAAGCTGCCAAAGTAGAAGGTGCGGCGATACCGGTCGCCTTGTCTGCAACTAGGGGTGCTGTAGAGAGTGATCTTGGTCTAGTCGTCTTCGAAAATGCGGTTGTGACACGGCGGCTAACAGGCTTTCCTGCCGTGAGGGAGGATTTGCAGTATGAAGGCTTCATCGTGAGAATTATTGGTGTGATGATGATTATTCTGACTTGAACTCAATGGTATCTACTAGAGCGGACGCATTGCCTTTATGATGTGGCATGTGGCACATCGTGGTCCATTCTGGTGAGCCGTACCAGCTCCCTTTCCTACACACCAACGCATAGCTGATCCATCAGACGCTCCCAACGACATCGGAAGTGTCAGAATGCGTATACTCCTTTGGAAACTCAATAGATACACAGCCACGTGGATTCTGATGCCAGCTTATCGATACCCCGCTTAACAACGCGGGGTAAGATAGCACAGGCATTCATGTCTGGCTGTCACGAGGTGACAAAGATAGGTGTGCATGCAGTGTGCGCTTCCGGTGGCACATTTCGGGGGTCCATGATGACGGGCTAGATTGAAGATTCGCTGAAACCAAAACCGGCCTTGGAATCCGATTGTTTTGGGTTATGTTTGTGGGGGTGGACGGATCTTTGAGCGAGTGGTCGGTTTCGAATCCGGATGGGTTGAGTCGGAGAGGGGGCCGATGATAGTCTAAGTCGGGGCACCGGGTGGCAGGTATGAAAAATGCGCCGAATGATAGGAGCATCGCGGGGATTCGGCCTAAATCCTATCACGGAGCATCCCTTGATTCTTTTGACTAAGTGAAATGGTCTAGTGATCAGTTAATGACTAGTTGCAGATGCATTGTCGAGATGCATTGTCGGAAAAGCGAAACCAAGGGGTTGGTTTAAGCCCGGCATTCGCTCCGTTGAGGGGTCTATACAAATACTGCCGGCTACCTTGACCATATGGAGTAGATAGTGGCGGGTTGTATAGTCTCTGTTGATCAAAGACGTCTCCTCAAGGCAGCTTTCCTCCACCTCTTGTTGCCTGTCCCACCCCCGAGTTGGTCCTGTCCTCGGCGTACCGCTTGTACACCTCAATATAGGCATCCCCGTCACTAAGCGTATCCTTTATGCTTTGCCTCTCCTTGATAGCATCGTACCATTGCCTCCACCTCTTCCATACCGCCTCATCATCGCCACCCTCCCCTTCAGAGGGGATGCCAAGTCCTCCTGGCTTGTAATGATCGAATAGGAACAGGCGCATGGCCCAAGGGGCTATCATCACATCCACGAGACTGAACGTCTTGCCCAGAAACCAGGGACCTTCGGGATCCATTTGTGCAGTAAATGTCTTGATGTGACCCAAGAACTCCTCACGTGCTTTTTCAATACTGTATTCCTTTTCTGGAGTGTGTTGAATAAATTTGTAAAATGCCGGCACGACGCGAGAGTTGATGTGATCGATCCACAGCCTGCATCTCGCGCGATCATACGCCGCCTCCGGGAGAAGATGTGGTCCATAGTTGTTCCCGGCGTATGCTTCCTCAAGGTACTCGGAAACCACAATGCTGTCGTAGAGCGGTCGTTGCTCGTTGCCCTTCACATCCACAGGGACGGCCAGGGTCGGGACCAGCCCCCGAGGGTTCATCTTGAGGAAGTCAGGGTCCTTCTTGTACGGGTTGATCTCGATGTACTGGTGGGGAATCTGTTTTTCGTGGAGGACGATCCATGATCGCTGGACAAAGGGGCAGAACCAGCCGCCGTAGAGCTTCAATGGGTGCTCTTCCGAGTGTTTTGCTGCGAAGTCGGCTGCGGCACCCGTGGCACGGGCGCCGATTGATGTGTCCACATTTGCCATGTTGCCAACTATGAACGTGAACTAGGGTTACGGGATGTCGGGTGACAGTGACTCAGTGTTCTCTTGGTTGTTTCGTTGATGAGGTATTGTGCGTATCTTATGTGGCGATGGTGAAGTTTCAATGATGATGAAAGTGATGCGACCCCTCTGATGACGTGATTGTTTATATCAAGCGGCCGGAAATATGGAGATCTCGGCCGGCTTATACTATTGGGACCCGCTTCAAAGCCGTCCCCTGGGGCAAACATCTCCGAATCACGGCCGCTTCTACTTCGCCCACCCAATTCAATAGAATTCCGACTAAAAGCTATGACTCAAGTGGAGTTTGAGACTTTACTTCATTGAGTGCACGTACATTGCAATATCATTCGCCAGACACTGGGATTAGTGACGACTCTAATATTTTGATATCAAAGATTCATTTCTATATCGCTGGTACAAGAGTATCGTGATCAATCTTCTGCGCCACAGGAGTGTACCTCCACCGACTAAAGTACGCGGGCGTATTTCCGGCACCGCCATTATTAGTAGCATACGCACCGACAATTGTGCCTACAGGATTGTCATGTCAATCGTGACAACGTCAAAGTCAGAAAACTCATAAGGGGGCTTACCAGTGAATGGGCCACTGCCTCCAGAAACGATCAACGCGCTCGCTGATCCAATCTCGAGATACTGTTCTGGACGAGAGGCTGGAGCTGCGCCGAAAACATATTGTGAGTCGCTGATCGCAGATACCGAGAGCCTTATCGACTCCGACCTCCAGGCTTTGGGTACTGGCACGAGAACGGTCTCAGGAACGGTAATGTTGGGCTTTCCTGATGCCTCAACCTTGAACCGGAACTTCGAAACAAGCGACTGGTTGGAGCAAGCTGGCAAGCTAACGATGCCTAGGTCTATATGCTGGAGTTGGGTTAAGAAGACTGAAATCCCAGCTTCCTCGTTTTCAACTTGTGGCTGAAATGAGACGTCGATGGTGTAGTTGAAGAGCGTGGCACTCTGCTTGCGGGCGATGAAACCGAGACCATCTTGTTCTGGGTTAAAGTCTGGTGTTGCTGAAAGGTTGACGGGTGAAGGAGATATCTGCAGCGTGTTGGGATGTCCCTCCGGTGAGACCTTGAACAGATCTGTCTTTGGCGGTCTCCAAAAGATAAAGTGCCTGGGAACCTCCGAGCCCGATGCAAAGTCGACAACGTCTGGCTCGTCTACCCAATGACCATTGCTAGGGATGTCTCTGTTCGTCGAAGGCAAAGGTCCCTTCATTACGCCACGCACTTCGTCAAGCACCGGCCAGTCCCCGTCTTTCCACTTGACGGCAAAGAGAACAGTCTCGCGGCCCATGGGATAGATTTCCCACGCGGGACCCGACCTAGTTGCCAATGCCACACCCCACCAATTACCAGAGGCGTCTTGGAAGAGGTCAGCATGTCCCACCGTCTGAAAATACAAGTCGGTGTTCTTGGCTGTAAGGATTGGGTTGTGCGGAGCTCCTTCGTACGGCCCGGCCATCTCTTTTGCTCGAGCAATCGTCACAGAGTGATTGGTTTCCGTTCCATCCTCTCCAATCAACAGATAGTAGAAATCGTCTCTGCGATACAAGTGTGGTCCTTCGGGGTTGCGATCACCGGTACCGTTCCAGACTTTGATAGGCTCCTTTGCCGCGCCCGTCGAAAGATCGACTTCGCTGATATAAATGCCAGCAGCCACCGACATGTATACTTTGTTGTTATCCCAGAAGATGTCTGGGTCAATATCGTTTGCCGGATTCTCAATACGAAGGGGACCGGTCCACGAGGCATCATCATATGGGTCGGTGGTTGTGAAAAGTAAGATCTTAGGACCCCACCCTTCATACCAAGAGACGTACGATGTGATGAGAAAGAACGTCCCGTTTCGGAACCTGATTGTGGACGCCCAAATACCCTCATTCTGTCCCGAGTTCCGGTAGAGTTCCGGCACTTGCTCCGGTCGCGTCAAAGCATTGCTGGCAAGTCTCCAATTGACCAAGTCCTTGCTGGCATAGACTGGAACACCCGGGAAAGCCAGAAAAGAGGAGACAGTACAGAAGAACGTGTTATCCCATTCCTTGACAAAGGTGCAACTAGGATCAGAGTTCCAACCCGGGAGGATCGGGTTGTTGAAGGTTTTGTTGACCTCCTGAGCCTGGCTTTGGGCCGCCAATGTGACGATTGACAGCCAGATGAGGCTGAAGAGTCGCATTGGGAGATCTGAGACGAAAGTGATCAATCTGAAGATGTCGGATTTTGTCCCGCAGCACCACGAGTACTATTTAATAGCCCTGGGCGTTAAGTCGCCTTTTGTATCGGAAGTCTTTTTTCGGACTAAGTTACACCTTAGCGATTAGGCGCTGTCGGCAATACACAGATTTCTGCCTGTGGCATAATTGTGGGCGAACCCGAGAACGATCTCTTAATAATTTCACCTCATTTCTTCCACCAATTCAATGTTCTGGATTTGATGCCATCTTTGGCGAGGTAAGGTATCCTAGGGCGGGGTTGAGCCTTCGTTTGTGGTCTGCCTATCGTCTGCAACCCCGCACGAAATACCCGTCGTCTTCGGCTCTTTTCCCGATGATACCGTCGTATTCAGAAGCCTAATCTATCCGACAAAGTCACTTATAAACGAGAGTTAGCGTATGCAAGCGGCTGACACTTTTCGAAGGATATTGCGGAGTTAGTGATGGTTGCTAAGTCAAATGAACATTAGTAGAGCGTCATACATCGTCGTCTGAAATACTTCACTTCCATCCTGTCTTCATCTTTTCCCTCATGATCAGCGACTATACTGGTATTTAATGCTTCTGTAACTTGCCACCTAGGTAAAGCAGAATCATACTCGCAGCACAACATTGTTTGGTGATCAAATCTTATGCTAGATAACTAGTTCCTCGATGTTCATGAATTCTCGATGTTCACAGATGCGCGAGGATGGGTGTGAGTAAAAGAGTGAATGGATGATATAGAATATTATGTGTCCAAAGTAAGCTAAAGAGCGAAGGTTATAAAGCGGATGAGTCAAATTTCCCAATTTTTAGCGCCGCCAGATGCAATTCCCCTTCAACCGTGCCATGCAACCCGCCCAATGCATATGCAATTACCGCCATAACAGCCCAATATCTCCCAACAAGGACTAATCATAGATAGATCACACATTCAGAGCTTGAAGCCTCCGAGAGGGTTGGGGTTGGGGATGACAAAGCCACCCTGCTGAATAGGAGGAATAACGGCATCGCCCTTCTGCGCAGCTAACGCCTTGTGCTTGGCGAGAGTGAAGTCAGGGCTGTCAAAGTTTTGGTTGATGACGCCGACCATGCCGTTCTTGCAGTGCTGGCCGGCGTTCTGGGCGCAGTAGTACCAGATGGGCTTCTTATCCTCGACGACGATCTGGAAGACGTTGGCGGACTGGCCCTCGGGAGTGAAGAAGTTGAAACCGGAGAAGAAGGAGGAGCCGTCGGCCAGAGGGTTGCAGGGGTTGCCAAAGTTGGACTCGGCGACGGAGTGGTTGCGGGGCAGGTAGTGCCACTCGACGATGTCGCCCACCTCGGCGACGACGTTGTCTGGGTCGAAGCGGAGGCCACCGAGGCCGGCAACAACGGAGTGGGTGACGCCTGTAAGCTCGTAGGTGCGGGTCGGGGTCTTGGTGCCGGCGGTGTTGGTGGGAGCGGCGGAAACGGTGGCGGCGGCGGCCAGGAGGACGGTGGAGATGGTCTTAATAGAGAACATCTTGACTGATTTTGTGTCTTTAATGTGTTTACGAGGTAGATCACAAACGCGTAGACAGAGAGAGGAGACTTTAGGAAATAATGAAAATAGGAAAGAAGATAGGAAAAGCGGGAAAATTGGTCTGCTTAGTTGTGTGACTATGTGATGATGAGAGAACAAACATATTGTTCGAGGGCGAGATCTTCTCATAATAAACAGCTTTCAGAGTCGTTTGATACTAAAGCCTTGGGCCTTTGGTCATCGTGCCCAGCTGATGGCGTTGTTGTACAGCCCTACGGTAGCATCCTCTTCCACTTACACGACCCGCTTGCTCCGACTGGGGGAGCTCATCTCCCTGCTCCCTTCGCCTGAACAACGCTAGCTCTCCGAAAGAGGTTTCCTCATCTGTCATCTACCGCCTGCCACGCAAAACCGGGACGGCGATGACCCGGGGTGGCTGCTGACCGGCACGAGATCCTCTGTTGGCGCTAGAATCTCACTCAGACGAACGAGGGCCGCGACGTGAGTGGTCCGTTACCGCGCAGCTGCAGACAAAGAACGTGCTGACGACGGAACTTGCGTCTGGAATAGGCGTGTGCGGCACATATCGTAGAAGTTAGTTAATAGCTGGGGGGGGGGGGGGGGCTGAGCTGGCTGGCAGGCTGCCAGCAAAACACCGCCCCGATGCCGAGACGAACGCTGCCCGCGTCTAATTTTAAACCCCATTACCAATCCCAAGCTAGGCAACTGATAATTGGTAAACATGGCATATGTGCACGACTTTGCCATGCGGACTAGCCTTGAATCTATTCGAATCCTTCTTTTTTGGATCTGGCTTCCTCCGGGACTTGGAAGATGGAAATCATGCAATGTCGAAAATAGGTGTTTGATACTCACGATATCTTCATACCGCTTTCAAGCTGAGGTCAAGGTCACTACCCCTCAATTTAAAAAGAATAGTGGCGTAAAACCCCTTATCTAGATATTTAGAATGGGCGCAGTTTACCTCAACATCCAGTTACGCGATGGCGCCTGACCGAGCGGAACGACTCACCTTTCATAGCTTGAGATAGGCATTGGAAAGGCAGTCTTGTTGATGCCTGTTCACACAAAGAATTAGAGAGCCTGACACCTCTGAAGAAAAAAGGTCCGCGAGAGAAACCAGGGCATCTTCAAGTCCCAGATGACAAGATGACATGGGGCTAACATTAGCTGCACACCTCAGGGAAGAACTTTTGAGCTAAGGGATTGTTTTCGCTTGCGGACGTGTCAACAATAGCTCCTCCTCAACATAAATCAGCAGCTTCCATTCATCCAGACTACATCCAGACTGCCGAAGTTCCGACATATGCCTTTCAATAGGCTATCAACCTCAGCTACCCTTGATCACAAAGTCGAATCTTTTGACTTGCGCCCATTGCGTGACTTGACTGGACCCAATCAGCAGCTTTGAGTCGAATTTGCTGCAGAGAATAATTTAGGGGCTACACAGGTCACTGCGAGTACTGACACTTAGGTCAGTAAGTTTCTGGATCGTTTGCAAAAGCTCATTCGTATAGCTCATGTTTTCCTATACCTCTTTTTAAAACATCTAAAGCCCAAAAGAACCCAAGATTTTGTTGCTATGCTAGGTATAATAGAAAGAAGGACGATAGAAAAGAGAAAGAAAAGTGAAAGCAAGGCTATATGCAATGGTTGTTTTCGGTCGTAAGCCATGATCCCCCATCGCACCCCATGAGCAAAAGCTGGCACCCGTATATCATACAGCCCTCGTCAGATGGTATCCTCGCCAAACAAAAATAACAAACAAGGAAACAGAACCGCAGTCTAGGTCTCAACCGGCCTTGACGGCCTTCTCAGCCCGTTCTCCATCATCTGACTCTCCCCCGTCCTTCCCGTTCGCCTCCGCCTCCTCAGCTTCCTTCTTCTCCTGTTCCAACTTATACCAAGGCCCATGTATGGCACCCGTCCCAGCGCCAACCAAAAGCCCAAGCCCTGTCGTAGGAATAGCCGTAACACCGCCGACAACAGCCCCCACCAACGTACCCACCCCGGCGCCTAGTCCCGTACCAAGTCCGGCTCCGATGCCCGCGCCGCCAATACCGCCCTGCCACACACCGCTCTGCAACCGCTTCGACTGCTTAGCCGACCCCTGTGCCTTTCTCTCGTGCTCCGCCGCCTCGGCGAGTATCTTCTTCTTCTCCTCCGGGTCCTCGGTCGCCTCGGCCCGCTCGCGGAGCGCCTGTGCGGCTTCGGTCTCTTTCTGTGCCTCTTGGAGCTTGGCGGTCGCTTGGGCGAGGACCTTGTCTTTCTGGGTTTGCTTTTGCTCTTCCGTCTGCTTCTCGTCGGGTGGTGTTGGTGGGGAAGACATTATAAGAAGTGTGGCGTCGGTGGCCGTGCGAGGTTTCTCGAAGAGGAGCTTCAGGAGGCTTGAGGCTGGAGCTCGGGAATGGAATGCTGAGGTGGGATGAAGTGTGGAGTTGCGCTGTGCTGTGCCGTACGGTCGGGACGAAACAGTGCAATGAACAAGGTGAAGCAAGGGATGCCGTCGATTACTTCCCAGATTTCGGCAGCGAGTCGTGCAGCTCTGACAGTCCTGGGTAGGATTTGCTTGCGGGCTATTGCAAGGTTTTGGGATTATTCGATATCGAAAGGAGTCGAGGAAATGGAAGTTGGGCGGGCAGCAACCACAGTTACTGACATCATTCGCTTATTGCTTTTTCTGTTTTTTCATGTTCTCGCGACATCCCTGTTGCGTGGCGGGGTTGATCTGCTGCCACACGCACAGTGACGTCGGGATCGGGTAAGTTCATAATATGGGGCGAGACGAGCTTGAACGTTCAGAGTATTTCCTAAAGGCATCACTATTTCAGCCGTTGTACTTTTCTCTACTTGCATGTATGTCGCTTTCAATTGCATAAACGCAGTTTGGATGACCTGCTCACGTGAAGATGGTGGTTTCAGCATTCGGTCACATGCAATTTCTAGTAAGTGGGGCTCACGTGGACTGGCGGGAGGTTCGCGACGTTGAAGGAAGGGACGACGTTTGAAGCAGCAAGTATCAAGCTTAAGTACTTCTTCATTAACTACACAGTTTAGTTCGATCTCATTAATTTTCCATTTGACTCAAAATAACAAATACTCTGCTAGCTAGTCTCGTCGTAGGGGCAACTTTCGTGACCTATTGTTACACTTTGGGTATAGTATAAAGCTTTTAGGAGTCTCTAGCACATTTGGTGTGATAGCTGCCGGAAGGAATCATGTCAATAATTTGGAACAAAACTTTTGACTGAAAAAACTTGTTCATCTGGCTACTCTCCAAAGTCGAGGGCTTCAGAAAGGGGACTTGAGTCGACAATATTCAAAATTTACCGCTGACAACGAATAGCCTACACGTAGATCCCATTCGCCAGAGGCAGAGGGTGACCAATGACTCAGATTCAACATATCACTCGAAACGAAGCTTAGTTCTACAGCACTGGCAACCCTGAAGCTGAAGCTCTCACAGATTTGCTTCTCAAGTTTCCAAGCTTCTAATCTCGTCCCTATCCAGTGTCCCTCAGCCAAGCTACGGACGAGCTCCTTTGGTTCATGGTTGTAGATTCTTGTCATGATGATAGTCTATGAGGGTGATCTAAATTCCGCACCAAGTGCAGAGTTTGCATTCTGATTTGGGGCTCAACAGAAAATTTCAATTTTTCTTGCCATCACCGAGTCATTCGGCATACATGTATGATGTTGAAGGTTCAGTCATGCTTGTACGTTTCGGCCGATTTCAACTAAGAGAGCGTGAGGAATCCATGTGTAATTGTACCTACCTTAGTGAGTGGTGGACGTGTTCCTCACAATGACTCGCCTGATAGATTACTTATGATCTTCCGACTACAGAAAAATATAATCCGAAATCGGCTAGAGACATTGAATGCTCAGAATGTCGGGTCAGCGCGTCTCTACGTCTTTTAGGTCAGCAAATCTAGAAAAGGGACTTGGTAGAGGAAATAAAGATTTGTAATGTGTAACGGCCCTAGTACCCGGGTTCCACGTATTGGGGTCTCGGAGTAGACCCGCCCCCGGAAATACGTGTATCTGCTAGTGAGCAATCAAGTGACAAGATTTTGTCAAGTACTCTGTACAAAATCTAGTACAAATTCTAGGCTATGGAGACTACTTCCCACCTGGCCTAGAATAGAAATGAACTGCCGTCCAACACTTCTAAATCAGCCACCGAGACCCATGTCAATGGTTGTCTCGAATTTGGAGACTATTACAGCGGAACGACCAAGCGTTAGTCACTGTCCACATGTGTGGACTGAAACTTGCGCGGAATGTGACATGTTATTTTGCACAGCTGTTGAAGAGTAAAGAGTCTCAAAATGCAGAGCGCTTGAGACTAAAATGAGTATCCTACCCGCAAGGTAGACAGCAAACGACTACACATCACGTGGTTCTGCGTCATCTCGTAATGGCGATGCACCACGTGGTGACAGTTGCATTCACCGATATTATCAAGAAAACTCAATGTCGAACAAGGCAACCACAGCCACGCCCTCACGAACGTTCAGCGATTGAGTTTGACGACGCAGTCACGCAAAGGCTTATCTCGACCTCTAGAGTTGGGGCCACGCCCGCCGCCCAGTCTGCCTCATTCGCGATACCGACAGATTGTTTCTTCCGCTGTTCCTTCCCGGCAGGCGGCCAGCGCAAAAAGGTTCTGGCAGCGCGGAAAGACGGTAGGGATCCACTGCAGACGCCAAGACGAACCGAAAGCGAGACCCCGGTCAAGTCCGAAAACAGCTGAGCGATCTTGCCGGATTCCGGACCAAGCCTCAGAGGTAGGCATGATTTCTCCAGACTACCGCTCGACTACACCACAAGAAGGAATGGCGCAGAAGTCAAAAATGAGAACGCGAAGAGCAAAAATAATTGCGGAGAGTGATAAAGGCAAGCACGCAAGGTTGACAACTTGCCAGTTAGGTGGATTTACGAAATATGCATGGCCCCATGATCGCGGTCGCTGTTCCCGTGGAGGTGTTTGATGGGACTTTTTCTGTCGGCCAAGCCACAGTCAAAGTTTCCTCGTGTTTGGTGACAGTGTTGCAACTTTTGGGGAAAAATACACGTAAATGCAGCCTCTTCCAAAGACTGGAAGGGGGTTGCATGAGGTACGTAAGCTTGCCGAACGGAATGTTCCTTATCGGCGTGGCTTTGTCCCTGCATCAGACGAACGTCGGAAAGATTGGATTGGGTAGGATCTCACAGTTTGATCGGTATCCGTACAAATGGGAAAAGGGTTGAATGTCAGAGTGGTGGTGGGGTGACGAGTCCCGTCAAGCCTCTGTGATTGCAAAAACATCACAGCCAATATCTCTGTACGCGTATGGGATGGGACATGATTCGCCGACTTGGTGCAAGATGTAGCGGAATCCACCTACAGGGCTAGCAGGGGCTCTCGATACATGGACCAATAAAGAGCGGATATATCCACGTATACGTCCTTATGGGGAAGATCCATACCCCACCTGTGGGCACCAACGAAGCTTGGATCTCGCACGTTGACAGTCAGACACATCTAGACTCTTTGCCTGTTGTTCACGACAAACGCGTATGGAGATGCCAGCAAGAGACTTTATTCGAGAGTTCGCGTATACGGTAGTCGCCGCAGCAGCAAACACAAGTTCCAACCGCCCCCATCTCCCATCCTCGGGGACGGTATAAAGATGGACTTCAACTTCGAGACACCCCCTTGGCCCTTGGCAACATATCCAGCAACAACGTCAACATCAACGGGGTCCTAGGACGATATTTCCATCGACAATAGCAAATCATCAGTTCTTTCTTGTCCATCGGGCGCCGATATCTGAAGCAAGTCTAATCTCGCGATTAAATACCCTGAACAAAACACTGCCCACAACAACAAGCAGGGAACGAGGAAAAGGTGGAGGACAAATCAACTACCGATAACCGATTCCTGACAGTCCTAAAGACTTTGACAAGATGCCTACCCTCGAGTCTCACAACGGCTACTACCTCTGGCACTATGTGCCCAGTCTGGTCGCCGCCATCATCTTCGAAGTCCTCTTCGTCCTCGCCACGCTCTTCCACGCGTACAAGATTGCCAGGACAAAGACGTGGTTCTGCATCGTCTTCGTGATAGGCGGTATCCGTACGTGACCAATTCCGACCTTCCATTTGTTACCTTAAACCAAGACTTTGGACTGACGTTGAAATCTTCTATCCAGTCGAAATCATCGGATATGCAGGCAGAGCCATTGCACGCGATCGCACCGGCGAAGTCGGCCCCTACGTAATGCAATCCCTCACGATCCTCATCGCGCCCGCCCTCTTCGCGGCATCCGTCTACATGACCCTCGGCCGCATCATCCGCAGCGTTCACGGCGAGTCCCTGTCGGTGGTCCGCATCAACTGGCTCACCCGCATCTTCGTCACGGGCGACTGCTTCTCCTTCCTCGTCCAGGCCAGCGGTGGCGGTCTCATGGTCAAGGACGGCAGCCAAAAGATGGGCCAGAATCTTATTGTCGCCGGTCTCGTTATCCAAATTGTGCTCTTCGCCATCTTCTGGGTGACCGCCATCGTCTTCCACTCGCGCCTCGCAAAGAACCCTACCCAGGCATCCCTGGCGGGCCACTCGCCCTGGAAGTCGGGCCTGTGGATGCTCTACATTGTCAGCGCGTGCATCATGGTCCGGTCCGTCTTCCGTCTCATCGAGTACGTCCTCGGCGGCGACGGATACCCGCTCCGTCACGAGTGGACCCTGTACGTCTTTGACGCCACGCTCATGTTCTTCGTTATGGTGGCCTTTGGGTTCCGGTTCCCTTCGGCGTTCCAGATCCGCAAGGGCGGCTCGCAGTCGGCTTCGGATGTGGAGAACTATGACTTGGCGGTGGAGAGTGAGCAGCACCAGCCCGGCTCTATGCGCAAGACCATGCGATAGAGAAGAATTTTAGAGTGCCTTTTTCTCTTTCATTTCTCGTCCGGCGGAGATTGGGTGCAGAGGCTCGTATTGGGGATGCTCAGCGAGCGCACCTACGGAGTATTGTTAGTGTAATTGTTGGGAATGGAAGACAGAGAGACCTGGCGGAGTTTGAAGGCCAGTGATCCACGTCACGATCACCGTCCCGAGGAGTTGAACGATTCAGGTTAGCGGAGATAACGCTGGAATATGCAGAATAATAGCGATGGGCGGAGGGCTAAGGTATCAACCGCGGAAAGCCGGGTACCCTGCTTTGGCTTAGTATTTAGCACTTTAGACGCACTAGAATGATAAATGAGGAAAACGTTGTGCAAATCGTTGGCCCGAAATCCTTGGTATTTGGTTTCTTGATTTTGACGACTCAACCAACTCCTGCATGTCCATGTTTGTCAACGAAACTGAATACATGTATTCCATCGTGTCGACGGATAGCTTCTCTAGGGTAGGTCTGGCACATTCAACCGGGCCATTCCCGGCGTAATTGGCATCCTTGACGATGTCATTGGATCGGAGATGTTTTACAGGGTGGTTACTAATACAACCGCGCGGGCATTATAAGGAAGGCACGCAGGTGGGTGGGCGCACCTGCCCACACTATCATAGAGATTTAGGGGGAAGGGGCCGCGTGGACTTGGTTGGCGCAGCGTCTATCGACCTTCCATTGCTCCCCTAGAGGTCCTGTTTAGGAAGTTTTGGGTGCATTGAGCTGCAGAGTAGCCCCTGTAGCAGACCCTCCTAATGGCTCCTTCCCTCAGTTCCATAACTTGCTTCCCCGTATTAACGTCCACTGGTGGCCCTTGGACCCGCTGAAGTCATGTTGGAGCGCGGTAGATGCCGCCCCCCTGTACGAAACTAGAGGGAAGGTAGGCATATTCAGTAGCGCCTTCCATACCTAAGGTACCTCACTCTGTGATTCTGTACTGCTGTACCTCATCCCTAGAGCAGGCAGGTCCGCTGTACTGTGTACCTTGCCAAGTAGTGCAAGGTACCGTTCCTACCTTAAATGGACTGACCTGAGCTTATCCATTCAAGCTACGGAGTAAGGTATCTTCGTAGGTCATCTTTTCTTTCCCCCTCCTCCACCAAAAAAAGGCTGAGCATCCCTCGGGTTCGCATCCCTCAAAATCATTCATCAAATTCAAACGCTTTTCTTCTTTTCTCTTCTCGTCCATTATCTTTACTTTTCACGTTCTTCAGCACAGAAAGAAAGCCCATCGTCGTCGGCCGGCCACAGACACCACGTCTGATCTGCTTTGCTCGTCGAAAAGGCCCCATGGCAAACCACTCACCTTGAACCGCCCCTCCCTCCACATCACTTTCCTCCCACCGGCCAAGACAAATCAACCTTGAGGTACCTAGAGGATGATGGACATCTCACGCAGCAATTCTCCCGCCCCCGGCACCGTCTCGACAAACGGCGACGTCAGTACACCGGGAGGAGCATCGGCATCGGCATCGGTAGCGGCAGCAGGCGACGTCAAACTCCGCCGCGCCCACCGAAAATCTCGCAATGGATGCAAAGAATGCAAGCGCCGCCACGTAAAATGCGACGAAACACGCCCGACCTGCGTCAACTGCGCAACGGCTGAGCGTCACTGTTCCTACCTCGACTCCCTTCCAGCTTCGGCTCGCTCCTCCGCTGTCTCCTCCGGCCCAGCCGCCAAGCGAGCAGCCGCAGCCGCCGCCGCCCTCGTCGCCAGTCCAGCGGGCAGCTCCGGCAGCAACGGCAACAGCGCCTCCGCAGCCGCTGTTGCGGCTGCCTTTGCAACCTCGCCTTCCATCACTACGGTCGTCAACGATTTTGTCATGCGCACCGAAGATGACCGCGGCGTAGCGAGTCCCCCAAACGGCCAATTCTTTACCCTTGAACACATGCGCCTCCTCCACCATTTGGAAACCAGGATGGGCACCTTTATGGCCGCAGACGGGTTTATGAAGCCCTTGGTCGATATGAACCTCGAGGCAGCCTTAAACGCCCCTTACCTCATGGACGTCCTCCTCGGCCTTTCTGCCCAGCACATGGCCGAGCTGAACCCCCAACGCGCCGACTTTTACCACCATGAGGCCACACAGCTCCAGACCCGCGCTCTCATGTTGTTCAACGACGCCAAGGAAGAAATCGACGACGACACCTGTATTCCAATGTTCCTCTTCGCATCCTGCCTCGGAACTCAGGTCCTCTGCGATACCCTCCGGAGCTACCGTACCGACTTCAACGGCTTTCTCGACCAATTTGCCTGGTACCTCAACCTTCACCGCGGCGTTAGCGCCGTCACCGGCCGTTCCTGGCACATCATCCGCGAATCCGGCTGCAAGCACTTTGTCGACTTTCTAGAATCCATCAAGCCCGACCCTAACCAACGCTCCGAAGTCGACATCCTCCACAGTATGCTCGACCAAACTGACCTCGGCCCCGTCTCCCTCCAAGCCTGCCGTGATGCAACCGAGTCCCTGCGGCAGTCCTACTTCATCTACCGCAGCATTGCTATAAAATCCAACCATCAATCCGCCTCCGTCATGGCCTTCGGCGTCCGCGTCACAACGGGCTTCATCGACGTCGTTAAGCAGCGCCGCCCGGAGGCTCTCGTCATTCTCGCCTTCTACGCTGTCCTTCTTCACTGGTGCCGCAGCTACTGGATCTTTGGAGACGCTGGCCAGTGGATCATCCGCTCTGTCTCGGCGCATTTAGGAGATTACTGGTCAGAATGGCTGGCTTTCCCTCAAGCGGTGCTGGAGGTGCATGCAGGCTGAAAGGTGAAGCAAGGAAGCAAGGCAGAAACGTACCGGACAATATCCTCCACTCCCTTACCACTGATGCAACGAAATCAACCTTGTGCACAATAAGCTGCACAGAGAGCTTCTCTCCTGCATGAGAAGGAAGAAACAGATCAGTTTTAAGAACTGCAAGTCTGTAGTCATCCAACCCCGGCCGATGTAGCCGGTGGCGGGTAGGGCAGGAGAAAAAAGCAGAGCCAGCCAGAAAACCCGGTATCTGGAAGAATTCCAATATGGCAAACAAGCAAGCGAACTCTAAAAAAGATGGAATGAACAGTGTGCGGATGTGGGTGCGCGCGCGCCCCATCTCAACCTCGGGCTTTGCGCCGATGCCGAGTGAGCTAGGTAAACCGTACGTCAAAGTCCGAAACATTCCCAACGCGCCGCCCGCCACCGACGTCCACCGACAGGAATCGATGAATCCGTCGCAGTCGCAGTCGCAAAAGAAGAGTGCAGTGCTGGGCTGCACTTGCTGCCTTGGCCAAACGCGCCAATTTCGTCCACACGCCGGGCACGTCGGGTATTCCGGGACTGGGTGGGATATTGCGGATGGGGCTCAGAGGTTCTTAAATGTCTTGGGGAATTGGGTGGGAGGAAAAGTGGCGTACATCAACCGGAGATCAGAAGAACACACGGCCTCTGCGATCTGACGTTGGTCCCCTCGTCTCACACTACGCCAGAACGCCCGGGAGTCGGTGCGGCGCTCAACCACCATCACCACACGCCCATCACGCACCTTCACCTCACCTCACCTCACACCTCGCTATCTCTGTCTCTGTCTCTCTCCTGTACCTTATTCCTCCTGCATATGTTCCACCCCTATCGAGGGACGGGCGCCAGAAACGCCAGGAAATCTACGCCATGGCCATCGGACTTGACATGGGGACTTTATCAAAAAGGTCTGCGCCTCCCGCGCCGATGACACCATGAAGCTCGTTCTCTTGGATGCCCGGAAAGAAGGAATGGGCAAAGGATTGGGGCAAAAGTTTCGCAAAGCTTAGCTTTTCACTTTCTATCCTTTCTGATGAATCCTCCTCTGACTTCCCACTTTTTAAACAAACAACCCACACCAGCTTCTCCAAGCTGGCGCAGCCATTCCCGTCCTTTACATTTGTGCGGCCCAGCATGTCGCTCCCATTCCCAACGTCCAGGTTCGGTCCTGGCTTCACGGTCCCGACCGCCGTGACCGTCACAGAAGGGGGAAGAACAGTCACATTCACGCCCACGCCCACGGGTGGCACCACTTCGGACTCGTCGCCCTTCCCGGACAATATCCTCCAGCAGTCCGGCCTCGCTCCGGGACAAATCATCGGCATCACCGTCGGCGCCACCTCGGGCCTCGTCTTTTTCGTCGTTGCCCTCGTCTGGTTCTGGAACAGGAGGAGGGCCCGGAAGCTCGCCGCGCGCGATGAGGCGCTCGACACCGTTATGGAGGATCCGGAGAAGCCCGATGACGCCGCCATGATGATGGCACAGAATACGGGGGAGACGGTCGAACTGCCGGCTCCGCGTGTGGTACACGAGATGCCCGAGACGCGCGAAGGCCCGCCTGTGGAACTCCCTGCTCCCGTTGAGCGGCACGAAATGCCTGCGTAACACCAGACTTCCCAGCATAGAACGGGGAGACAGACGCCTGTCTGGATTGGTATGAGGACGAGGGCGCGAAAAGAGATGGCGCCTGGCCGAGTCTGATAAACGAAATTGGAAATGAGACCCACGATACCCTCGCTAAGCCGTACTTTCGCTTAAGCATTATTACCAAAGAGTCGGACTTTGAGAGAAAGACTCCCGCCGCAAAGACACTGTTGCCATGAAGTATGATGAATAGTGGTGTAATACGTCAAGAAAGTGAGGGACTTTGGAGCAAGGCAGCAGTGGGCGGTCTACCAAATTTTACGGCCAAACCAATGTGGATGAGAACTTAAACGGGAATATGTTTCTACCGTAGATAGATCGATATCAAAACCAGACACTCACGCAACTTCTTTCACAACGCATTGTTAGGTCGCACTGTTTAATACAGGACTCAATAGCCTCACCGCAATCCTCAGATGGACTGCACGATTGAGCACTTGCTGTACGAAGTTTGTGTACACAGGCCTAGATATCGACCCTTCGGCATCGTTTTCTCCCTTTAAGGAGGGTGCTTGCCTCCAATCCCTGAAACCACCTTACGAACTCCCTGTTGCCATGTAGAATACACTCAAGAGCTTGATGCTTGGCTCACGCCCGTATGAATAAGAAATGAAATAGCCTCTGCTTCCGCATGAGCTCAAAGCTTGTGGACATCGTCCTCGGTTGTTGGACCACTTTTGCCCAACTAGGACTGATTCTCGCCGTAGGTCGATGGAGCTATGCTGAAGTCGATGTCGAGCTCCTTGAGGAAGACATCGTCCAGGCTGCTTCCATCACGGGTGTAGATCCAGGCTCCAGCGGCAGTGCCCTCCTTGTCGTTCTGCGAATCGCCGACGACGACCCAGTCGTAGCGCTTGGGGCCGGACACGGGCGACGAGAGCCAGATTTGCTTGTTCGGGGGCTGCTTGTTGATCACGTAGGTGCCAGAATCCGGGAAAGTAACCGTCAAAACTCCGGCCTGCATGGGTAACAATTAGTGATTCGTTGCTTGGGTACAACAGGCAAATCCTGAGTCTCGCAAAAAGGCGACGATGGGTAGGATTGAAAAAGTCAGATTCGGTCTGTCAACTCACAGCATACTCGACATCAACACCCTCACGAGCATCTGCTATCTCCTCAAGACGAGTGACAATGTTGTCAAGGTAGTTCTCGGACAGCTCGTGATACTCGGCATCTGTAAGCTCGACGACGCTCATCTTGACCTCCTCCTTGGGTGTATCCTTGACCTGAGGGTCATCGGTGTCGGGCATAATGCCACGATGGGCAATTGATGAAGTTGTGAAGAGCTTGCGAGCCGGAGGAGCAGAGGTTGTAGGTTTTGAGGCGGCCAGAAGCAGGGCAGAGCGGCGCGAGACGGCCAAGCGGGCTTGCGAGGAGGCACGGAGGGTGCGGGCGGCGGCGCCGGTGAGCTTAATGATGCTGTTGCGAGCCATGATAGCTAGACCTTGGTGGCGATGAGCGATTGGAAGACTCCTGATTGTGATGTTGCTGAGAGATTGAGACGTCGAGTGGTCGGGGTGAGTGGAAGAAGAGGAGTTCAGGTGGTCGTTGTCGATCAGGGAATTGAAGAGGTGACTGATTTACTTCGTAAAAGACGGCAGGTCAAAGGCAGCTCCGTTGCTTCCCCACGTTTGCTGCAGGTGTGACGGAAGCTGCAGGACCAGCTTCGATCCGCGGTCAAGGGAAGGAACCGAGCTTGGACCAGGCGGAGGTCCCGGCAGAAGTGATTACATCAGAAAGTCATGTGCAGTTGTGAGACGTGCACCTTAAGCTTCTCACTGCTGGCTGGTGGGAGACGGTTGCGCGGCTGGCGGCGGTCTGACCCCACCAAAGCCAGAACACCGCGAAGCGCATTCAGTACACTACCACCCTGTCGCATTGAACCTAGACATCACTGGCGAATCCACCCGCTGGTATCAACAACCTCAGCCAGCTCGGAATGCTCAGCCAAGAGAGAACACAATGATCAACGCCTTTCTGGTCTTCAACGGCCAGGGTCAGCCCCGGCTAACCAAGTTCTATACACAGTTGGTATGCTCGGCCATGTACACTGAATAGAAGCTGACATCGCTGACTTACGTATCTACACAGGAAACGAGCATGCAACAGCGCCTGATTTCCGAAATATTTACTCTTGTGTCGAATCGACCGGCCGGGTCTTGCAACTTCCTCCCGCTTCCTCCCCTACTCGCTGCCTCAGGCACCTCACATTCATCGTCAGAAGAAGAGAACGATGTTCCCTCCCTCGTTACCTACCGTAACTACGCGACTCTCTACTTCATTGTCATCTCCACCTCAACAGAGTCACCACTTGCCCTGATCGATTTGATACAAGTCTACGTCGAGGCCCTCGATAAGCTGTTTGAGAACGTTTGCGAGCTGGACCTCATCTTCAACTTCGAAACGCTACACTCAACACTGGGCGAGATGATTGTGGGAGGAGTGGTCATCGAGACGAATCTAGATCGCATTGTCTCCGGCGTACGCGCGCAAGGTACCGTGGCCAAGAGACCTGTAAACGAAGGGCGCAGCGCCGGACTGGGGGGCGGACTGAGTATGGGAGGCAACTTTGTCTGGCATGGACGGTGAGAGGGGCGGCCCGCTGTCTAAGAGGGAAATGACTCTGTTTTCGGACAATATGTTATACATGGGCTTCTGTGCCGGGTATTCAAAACGCCATAAACTCCTCCCTATGCTGGTAAAGTGTTGTCGGCCGGGGATCTGTCTATTTGGATGTCTCGATGGGAGCGGGTGCTTCGGGCGCATCTCTGCGGCGTTCGTATCGCTTGTCGGCCTCGATTGTGCCAAACAGACCGCGCACACGCTTTCGGATCTGGAGGGAGTGGTTAGCATCAGTCGGGACTGGACTGGAAGCGACATTGCCACATACCTCTTCGGACGGCCTGTATTCCTTGCCAAAGAACTCGAGCTCGGAGAAGAAAAACGTCCAGCCAAGGAAACCTAGAGCAAGTTAGCATAGAGCGCAAGCAGTCGCTATAACGGCTTCGCGAACCAATGACAGTGGCCAATTGCGCAAGCTTAACAGCCTTGTTCCATCTCGGTCGCGCATAAACTAATGCTAGGCGTCTCTTGTACTTCTTCTCGAATCGCAATTGTGACTGAGGGGACAGGTTCGTGAAGTTGGGAGGCCAGACTTTTTTCGTTCGGTAGGGGTTGGTGAAGACTGTGAACTTGGAGCCGGCAGCTTCGGCCGCTCGCCGGACAATCGTAGGAAGCATCTTTGGTTGATTCAAGCTGTGGGTGTGGATCGGTTGGCTTGAATTGCAGATGGTAGTTCCGAGGATGACATGGACAAGACGGATCTCGAGGATATGTCTACAGGCCTCTGCGCGACGGGAGAAGCTCACCATGTTGCCTAGCCACACAATGCGCCACAAGCGACTATCTGCTCGTATGTGACACCAGCCACATTTGCAAGGCCAACGGCTACCTTAAGGTAGAGATTGAGGGGTACGTACTTCGCAGGGGACTCGACCGCCACAGCACTCCAAACATCGGAGAGTGACCACTGACCCGACAGTACCCCGCCATAACCACCAAAGCCATCGCGGGGCACACTCAGCCTCGAAAAAAAACACCGGAGCTGCGACGAAATCTCCCCCACGTTTGGATCTGTGACTCAGTATCCTCGACAGCGACTATCTCGAAGGAGCACCAGCGACAACGCGATATCGAGCGTGACTCTCAATTTTCGGCGCAAGAGTCACCGTCGAATCACATAATACGCATTGGTCCTGGAATAGGCCTTGCGTATTTGCCTTCCCCGACAATTCCTGACCGAATCGAACGAGAACCCGCAATCATGGCCAACGAAGCTGCCAAGGCCCTCGAGGCCCTCCAGGTTTCCAAGACCAAGGAGCTCAAGGGAACTGAGAAACGTGACTTTTTGATCTCTCTCGAGAAGAAGTACCAGCGCAAGTGGTCTGAGGACAAGATCTTCGAGGTTGACGCCCCCTCCACCAAGGAGGTTCCCCTGCACTCCATTACCGCCGCCGAGCTGCGCGAGCAACAGCCCAAATGGTACGGTGCAATTGGATAGTACTACAGGAATAGGGGCTGACAAGTATACAGGATGGGATGTATGGCTTTCCCCTACATGAACGGTCGTCTTCACGCCGGTCACCTGTTCTCCGTGAGCAAGGTCGAGTTCGCCGCTGGTGTAAGAGAGCTCTCACAATGATGGAATTAGGGGGAAGCTAATGGATTGTCCTAGGTCGCTCGTATGCAGGGAAAGCGTGCCCTGTTCCCCATGGGATGGCACGCGACCGGTATGCCCATCAAGGCTGTTGCCGACAAGCTCAAGAACGAGGTTGCCTGGTTCGGCCGCGATTTCGAGGGCTACAAGGAGGAGGGAGTTGTCGTTGACGAGAAGCCTACTGATGCTAAGGAGGCCCGTGAGGACATCACCAAGTTCTCCACCAAGAAGAGCAAGGCCAATGCCAAGACTATCAAGGCCAAGTACCAGGTATGCATTGCTTATCTCGGCTCCATGTTGCACATCACTCACAGACAGACAGTTTCAAATCATGGAGGCCATGGGCATTCCGAGACAAGAAATTCACCTCTTCGCCGACGCGTCATACTGGCTGGATTTCTTCCCCCCTCTGGCTCAGGAGGATCTCACAAGCCTTGGCTTCAGAATCGGTCAGTCTTGAGCCATATGGCTGTAGAGATGGCATCAGCTAATCAAAACCAGACTGGCGTAGATCGTTCATCACCACCGAGGCTAACCCCTACTTTGATGCTTTCGTTCGCTGGCAGATGATCCGCCTCAAGGAGCTTAACAAGATCAAATTCGGCAAGCGGTACACCATCTACTCTATCAAGGATGGCCAGCCCTGCATGGACCACGACCGAGCTGAGGGCGAAGGAGTTGGCCCCCAGGAGTACACTGGCTTGAAGATGAAGGTCCTCGAGTGGGCCCCCAAGGCCGAGGAGGCCCTCAAGTCTCAGCTTCCCGCCGATGCGAATGTCTTCCTCATCCCCGCCACGCTTCGTCCCGAGACGATGTACGGCCAGAACGCCGTTTTCGTGTCTCCCAAGATCACCTATGGTGTCTTCAAGGCTACCGAGACGGACTACTATGTCATGACTGAGCGTGCTGCCCGCAACATGGCCTACCAGGGTCTCTTCCTCGCAGAGGGAGTTGTTGACGAGACTGCCAAGATTGACGGTTCCGCCCTTATTGGTACCCGCGTCAACGCCCCCTTCTCCGTCCACAAGGACGGCGTTCGCGTTCTTCCCATGGAGTCTATTCTGCCCACTGTACGTATGCCTCTTTTTCTATTGAACAATATATCTCTAACAATTCGCAGAAAGGTACTGGTGTCGTCACATCCGTTCCCTCGGACAGTCCTGCCGATTGGGTCATGACCATGGATCTTCGCAAGAAGGCCGCCTACTACGGCATCGAGCAGGAGTGGGCCGAGCTTGAGATCATTTCCATTATCAACACTCCTTCTGGTGACATGATTGCCAAGACCTTGGTCGAGCAGCTGAAGATCGCCTCTCCCAAGGACACTGTTCAGCTTGACAAGGCCAAGGAGACGGCTTACTCTGAGGGTTTCTACAAGGGAACCATGAACATTGGCGAATTCAAGGGCGAGTCTGTCGAGTCCGCCAAGCCCAAGGTCCGCCAGTCTCTCATTGACCAGGAACTCGCATTCGTCTACTCCGAGCCTGAGCGCAAGGTCGTCAGTCGTTCCGCAGACGACTGCATTGTTTCCCTGATGGACCAGTGGTACCTCGACTACGGTGAAGAGTCCTGGAAGAAGACTGCCCTTGACTGGGTTGAGAACACAGATGGCAAGGGCCTGAACACGTTCAGCCCTGAGACCAAGAACGCTTTCCAGGGTGTCCTCAACTGGCTCAACCAGTGGGCTTGTGCCAGATCGTACGGTCTTGGTTCCAAGCTGCCGTGGGACCCTCAGTTCCTCGTCGAGTCTCTCAGTGACAGCACCATCTACATGGCGTATTACACTATTGCTCCTTACCTCCATAAGGACATCTTTGGCAGAGAGCAGGGTACTGGTGCCATTGCTCCCGAGCAGATGAAGGATGAGGTTTGGGATTACGTCTTCTGCCGCCGCGAGCTTGACGACAAGCTCCTTGCCGAGTGCAAGATTCCCAAGGAGACTCTTGAGAGCATGCGCCGCTCATTTGAGTACTTCTACCCTCTCGACCTTCGCAGCTCTGGCAAGGATCTGATTGGCAACCACTTGACCTTCTTCCTATACATCCATCTGGCCATCTTCAGCCCCGAGTACTGGCCCAAGGGTATCCGTACCAACGGTCACCTGATGCTCAACGGTGAGAAGATGAGCAAGTCGACCGGTAACTTCATGACCCTGCAGGATGTAGCTCGCAAGTTTGGTGCCGATGCTGCCCGTATCGGGTTGGCTGATGCCGGTGACACCAACGGAGACAGCAACTTTGAGGAGGACGTTGCTAACCAGGCCATTCTCCGTCTCCACACTCTCAGGGGTATGTTTGTCTCCTTACGTTGCGATTATTATACTAATAGCAGTAGAATGGTGCGACGATGTCGTCAAGAACAAGAGCGAGCTCCGCACGGGCGAGTACAACTTCTTTGACAAGGTGTTCAACAACGAGATGAATGTTATTGCCAAGGAGGCCATCCACCAGTACTCCGAGACTGCCTACAAGCTGGCCCTGAAGGCGGCTTTCTACGAGTAAGTTCAGATACGTATCACCGTGATTTGCATTTCTAACATGTCTCAACAGCTTCAACAATGCCCTTTCCTTCTACCGTGAGAGCAGTGCCCTGTCCAAGATGCATGTCGACTTGGTCCTGCGCTACATTGAGCTCCAGGCTCTTCTCCTCGCTGTCATCGCGCCCCATTGGTCTGAGTCAGTCTGGGTTGAGATTCTGGGCAAGCCTACATCAATCCAGCAGGCGATATTCCCCGAGATTCCGGAGACGGACGCGGCTCTTACGGCGGCGAGAAAGTACATTTCGGTCACGGCTTCCAATGTCAACTCTGCCGAGTCCCTGCAGCTCAAGAAGAAGGCCAAGGGCAAGGAAACATCATTCGACCCCAAGAAGCCCAAGAAGCTCACCATCTTCATGAGCGAAAAGTTCCCGCAGTGGCAGCAGGCCTACATTGACCTCTTGAAGGAGATGTGGAACTCCGAGACCAAGTCCGTGGACGACAAGGCGCTCAACGGTAAGATCTCCAAGATGGGCGAGATGAAGAAGGCCATGCCGTTCGTCCAGGGTCTCAAGAGGCGTCTGCAAATGGGCGAGCCCGCGAGCGCTGTCCTTGAGCGCAAGCTGGCATTTGACGAGAAGGCCGTGCTCGTGGACATGATTGAGGGTCTCAAGCGCAGTGCCAACTTGGTCGAGGTGAAGATCATTGCTGTGGAGGAGGGCGGCAAGAAGGGCACTGATCTGGTTACCGGGGCTGTGGAGGAGAGCCTCGCGCCAAACGCTGAAGGCGCGGTACCGGGTGCCCCCAACTTTTTGTTTGCCAATGTTGAATTGTCATGAGTAGCGGGGTGCAAGGGACTGGGATAGACAGACTCCGAGAGAGTAAAATGGTAGCATGTTGGTGTGTCGTCACATGCCCATGTTGAGCCAAGCAAAAGGAAGCAAGACGAGGTTTTGATATCAATGAATACGATTTCTGTTCAATAGCAAACAGCTTGTTCCATTGGCAAATGTGAATGATTTGGAGGATGGGCTTTGAGCAAAGGCCGGGGCATGCAGGTCTAGTGCCGGACTTGACATGGGGTTCATCGGTGTAGATTGTGCGGAGACTTCGGATAGCTGGGCTGTCTGCGAGGCTGGTATACTTCGGACATTGCCTTTTTAGATCCATAGATGGAGCCAGAAGAATGGGACGCAACACTGGAGAATCATGAATGGAGAGGACGAGGAAAGATTCAGGCTTAGCTGTGGTCATTGGGTTGCGGCCTGAAAGCAAGGCTTTTCGAAGCTTGACTGAAAATCAGGGAATTGGGGCTCGGGAGTGAATTGTCAAGCGGCAAAGATTATGACAGAAGGCATGAATACTTTACTTTGAACATGCGTGGCCAGCCTGCAGATGAGAGAGCACAACGGTGTACTCCGTAGGAGAGTTTCCTTGATTCGTGGAAAGAAACAATGGCGTGGCTTGAGAAGTTCAAGAGGCGCGAAGGCCGTTGAAGTCGCACAGAAAACGTCAGGAAACGTGCTGGTGGTGGCTGGTGGGTCGAACGTTATGTGGCTTGATTGGATGATTGGCTCCATCGGTTGTGGAGGACACTGGAGGCGAGTGGCTGGGGTGATGCGGTGACGGCTGTCAAAAAAACGGGCAGTCGCGTTCTGGAGAGTGGAGAATGGAAGGAGGGAAAGAGGCATAGAGGGAGGGAAGGTGACTGGATGAGGAAGCAGGCGAGAATGCGGCAGAATGGGAAAACCTGGCAGGGACCCCTGCCAGGTTGCTCTCTCTCGCTTTCTCACCCTGGTCCCTGCCTCCTTCTTTTCCCATGACGAGGTCTTTCACCGTTGGTCACCGTCTGCCATCTGGTGTTTTCCATCCCCAGTTGGGCCTGGTCTGTCAACTCCAAGGAACTGGCCATGTTCGTCCCATCATCCATCGAATTGGCTTCGGCCTCGGATTCGACCACCACTACCACCACTACTCCCATTTGCCATGTTTCTCGAGAGAACCAAAGTCTTGGCCCTTGGAAGCTAGAAGAGAATGGTCTCACTCGGTGACTGGTTCGGTTCTAACGGGGCACAGTTAGCACGATGTGATTCATGGCCAGAGATCTCTGGCTTCGAGAGGGGTCACCGTGGGCCTGCCAATGCCATGCAATGGCCCGGCCAATCCAGGCACAAGGGGAGAGCCGTTGCAGCCGCTTTCCCTTTTTTCCCGCAGCATTTCACTGGGCCAGCCTCGATTCTCTCCGACTATCCTCAGCTGTCAGCCAACCACCCTGGCTGGCAGCCCAGGTTTGTTTTGCGGGATGCGTCTCCGGTTGCTACAGTGCCTCTTTACGGACCTCTTTCTCGTCTTTGCCAGCTGCAGCACCCGCTGGCCATGGTCGACGTATGACGCAACACAGCAGAGCACGGCATCGGGCGCAGAGTATCGCCAACATGGTCTTCCCCCATCCTTCTGGACGACCTGGACCCCGGCCTTCAGTACGACCACCTTTCTCTGCGAGCAGGAAAATCCGGGACAGCTGCAGCATACTGGACATGCTAGCAGAATGGCACAATGGGTGCTTACCTGATTCCTCATGTTTGCGCGCCTTCTGTCACCCAACCACCACCCTGGGCCGAGATGACGAGATGCTTCTTGTGCGATTGTGCAGGTTTGCGGGAACTCGGCAGACTAGCAACCGTTGGCAAGCGTCACTCTTCTTTTTCCTTCTGTCGAAGACGGACGGGCAGACGGGCAGACGGACGGATGGTGGATCTGGGTCGGTTGAGTTACCCCAGGATCAGGGCAGAAGTCTGCTTTGTGGGCGACTTTGAGCATCACTGCCATCGGAGCTTGGATTTTGGTGACTACGATCTACTGTCATTGGGAAGAATAAACTGATGGGCATTGCATCTGCCAATGAGAGGACATGGCAACAACATGAAACGAAAATTGAGGTGGTGGGGGAAACACACACGTCTGCTGCTGCGGCTCATCATTTGTGTTGCCATTGTTGTGTTTCGCCGTTGTTGCTCTTTGTTGCAAGTGAAGCCATCCCCAGCCATTTCACTACTGCGTATGCACAATTCAACCCATCAAAGTTTACCACGGTCATCCCAGCCTTCTTTCTCTTTCTGCTTCCCGAGGAGCAACCCACAAAGAGTCCACTTTTGGTTTCCTGGGTCGATGGACGACAACCCTGTCCTGTCTCGCCTTGTTCGGTTGCTTCCACCCTCATTCCACCCATGTCTGCGACCAGTCCGCATCTAGCACCAACAGGCCTGCAGGCAAGCGAACATGAATGATGTGGTTTGGTCTGAGAATCTGGTCTGGGACTGTGTACAAGGCCTGGCCGATCAAGGTCTGCGGTACAACTGTTCAAGGCCCAAAAGCAGTCCCAGGTCGGGTTTCCCTGCTTGATGCTTCACCCAGGCGCCCCGCATACAGCTTGCCCACCTCACCACCAATACGACCCCTGGTAACCAAGCTACCAACCCTCTGCTTTCTTGAACCCCCAGTGACGGTGCCGTCACGGCACCCCTCGTCGAGATGATGTCGTGCAAAATCGCCATTCTTGGCATCACTGCTGTCACCGACTCGTAGCCTGTAGCACACAATGTCCTGTGTACGTCGTACCTAGTCGTACGGCCTGGGCTTTACTCGTCACGCAGACCCTCACTCCCGTCTTGTAGTATATATCTCCCACCCAGTCTCATTCAAGTCGAAATCTTTTTGCTCTTCATCCGCAACAACGAGTTCAGAACATTTCACTCCTACTTCTCGCCTCATCTCATCAACAAGAGCCTCGGCTTTCGAGCTAAATCAGTCGCTTCTCTTTCCGATCTCTCATCAACGGCTCTTAAGCTTCTTCCCTCCAAACAACACCAATAAGCCAAAATGCGCTCCTTTGCCATCCTCTCCGCTGCCGGCCTCGCCGCCGCCCAGTTCACCTCCATCGTCATCACCGACGGTATCACGGCCACCGTGACCCTCCCGGTCTTCCCTGAGCCCACCGCTACCGCCATCGTGACCGAGACCGTTCCATTGACCACCGTCACTGCCTCCCCCGAGCCTTCGGTCTCCACCACCGTGACCGTTCCGGAGGGCACCACTACCGTCTCCGAGGGCCTCACCACCGTCCCGGGAGGAGGCTTGACCACCACCACTCAGGTTGTCGTCAGCGACCCTCCCGTCACCGTGACGACTCCCATCGTCGTTCCCACCGGCACTGACCCCGTCGAGACTCTCCCCACCATCACGGACTCTGCCATTCCTTCCATCACCGTCGTCATTCCTCCCATCATCAACAGTGAGTCTCACCTCTTGCCCTGATTCTGGAAAACCAATTGGACTAACATGACCTTTTTAGCTACTCTCTCAACCCTCACCCAGACCTACTTCACCTCATCCCCCAACGCTACCACCACCGGCCCTGTCACCGTGCCCACCGCTGCCGCCGACAAGGTCCAGAGCTCTGCTGCTGGCCTCATCGCCTTTGGCATTGCCAGCTTCTTCCTTCTGTGAGGGAATTTCCCTGAGATTCGGGACTTGGAAAGCATGATGGAATAATGGGTTTAACGCTTGAATGACGATAAGCGCGGTGCACACACTCACACACTTACTTGACATGGAATTCATGAGGAAGCAAAACAGCACTTGTTTTGGACATGTATTATGACTCCTTTTAACGGCTTGGAGCAACGGCGTTGGATATTCTGCATACGATGATGAACCATGGTCATCATGAGATAGCATTAATACTGCTAATTAATTTTTTCAAATAAATACTTTCACATACATTGTGCCCATTGCTTGTGACTCTTGACTATTTGAAATCCAAGATTGTCGCCGCAGAGACTACGTAGAGAACGTCTCTCCGTACATATGTATACTTGATATCAAGACAAAAAGGAAGGAACTACTAAAAGAGTTCACTCCCCCGGTAGCGAACGGGCGCTACATCTCTGGGTGCACATGCTGGGATTCTTGTCAACTCGAACTCGGGACCTCTGAGCCTTCACCGATTAGGCTGTTCGTGGACTTGAACCACTCTACCACCCAGCCAGTTTTGACCAGACCCCCAAGGGGGCGCCTGCTGGCTGGTGACGGGAATGGACTCGGTGGGATAGAATGCTTCTTCTGTGTATTCACTCATGTGCTTTCGGGCGGTTGGAAAGGTTATCGGGACCAAGGTAAGGTAAGGTGAGCTAGGTACGGTACCCAAGTTGAGAATATCTGCCACCGTGGTAAATGATAGCCTCCTTCCCCTTCTTCTTGACCCTGAGCTTTCTCCTGTAGCGCCATCCACCTTCAACTCTGACAACCAGGTAGTTCTGGCAAAGACTTCCACGGCATCCGCGCCATTCCCTCGGCCTGCCCAAGGTAGCCGCACTTGGAAGTGCGACAGCCCATCAGCGCATACCCAGCAAACAGCGGCGCGGCACGATGCCCAGTATCCCACTTTTGTCCAAAGAACAGGCTCGCGTTGCATCTTTCATGTAGAAAATGTTTGCCTACACTGTTACCTCTGCGGCACAATGCAATCTCCTCTTTCCCCGTAACATGTGAACAGAGCAAGAAGCAGAGCAGAATCCTTTGTACGCCGTGACACGTAATCAAGTCTTGTGATACGCGGGCGGCTAGGGTATTTGTCTGACATAGAGGCTGCCTCCCGAGTAGGTACCCGAACTTGGGCTCTCAAGTGGCAATCTGCTGCCTCCTGGAAGTTCCGTATTTAACGAGGCTCATTTGCGGGAGCTTGTATCTGCGGTTGTATTCGCTGGCTCGGCGCTTGGATGATGAGCTTGGCTGGCGGCGCAGCGCGACCATCCGCTGGAAGGGCTCCTCGCACAGTCGGAGCAACCTTGTCATGGCGCGGCGTTCTATTATGGGATCCGAAGATAGTCCTTCTTCAAGCGGCAACGGGGATTTGAGCGGAAGCCTCCTCTACAGCGGGTTCGGCTTCATCTTCGGGGTCCTCAGGGAGGTCGTCCTGAAATTTGCGATTACATGTTAGCGATACACCTCTCTCGCGAAATCTCCGTATGGGTCCTAAGATTGCGGACGGATAGGGCTTACCTTATCAAAGATGACGCGAATCATGAGACTGCAGCTGGGACACACGGCAATGTCCTCGTCGTCGCGCAGGTCGGCCAGGGCGATTTGGAACTTGTCGCCGCAGGGGCAGGGGTAGTGGTAGATCTGCATGTCCTCGTCAAAGGTCATGTCCTCGATCTCGATCTCGTCGTAGATGGAAATGTTGTCGTCGGACATTTTGGCGTAGTTATTGGCTCGGTGCGCGTGCAGAGTATTGCGGACTAGTCTTGCTGGAATGATGGCGATGGAGTCATTCAAGTTGAGGGGTGCCAAGCCGACTTGGAAGAAAAAAAAGATAAATAGACAAAAAAAAAAGCTGCGGGAGGAGTTGCCCCGCGATGTGGCTGGTGAATCAGTTCGGGGAAGTCAAGCCACATCTGATTAGATAATTACGCCTCAGGCACAAAAGCCAAAGAACCCCAGAGCACAAATCACATGCCATCGGCAGCCAATTCACATGGGAACGGGACCAAAGGGCCATTTTCCGGGGTTGGCCAATCACATCGGTCGCCGCTACGGGGTCGCTCTTCTCCAGTACCCATGTACCGTGTCACTCCGGGGAGCCGAGGGACAGAGAGGTCTACCAGCGCCAGCTTTCCCCCATTTTCCCCCAGCGGAATCCAATGGCTGAATCTGCCCAGTGCTGAATCAGAACAAAGACCCGAGCCGCCGAAGCGGTCCAGTGTCATTTTAACATTTTGGCTGCTGAATCTGGAAGCGGAAGGGGACTCGATTTGGCACCTTACCTACCTACCGCTACCCCCCCAAGGGCCCCAGCCAAAAGCCTCGTCCGAAGGAACAGCCGTGTGACACTCAACCCCAAAGCACCCGCCACCAGCTATGGCCGTTATCAACATCATCGTCTTCCCCTTCCTGACCGATTTCGAACACCTTTGATATTGTCCTTTGCGATATTCCCCGCGATTTCTTGACGATTAACGGATCTCGATCGAAATACCACTACGAATGCGACTGAAGATACAGTCCCAGCGTCAACCGACGGACGTTCCCCCACAGCCGCCGGTGTGACGTAGCCGCGGCATCTCGTCCATCTTCACAAGCAACACAACCACGACCCTCATCTCCTCCAAAAGACATTGCAAGACGGCAAAGAACTCGGGATCGCCGTCAATAATCTAGCGGCGCGCGCGCGCAGAGACACCACCCCGCGAAACCACCGCCCACAATGGCCGCCCAATCCAAAGTCTCCCTCGGGCTCCCCTCAAACCGCACAGTCCGCAACCTCGCCCTCCAGCTCACCCAGCTCTACCTCCAAAACCGGACGCGCATCTCCCGCGCCGTCTGGATCACCCTCTTCGTCGCCCTCGCGAACCGTATCCGCCGCGCCATCTCGGACCAGAAGGCCGCCTCCGCGCGCGAGGCCGCCGCGCGCGAGTCCCGCGCCACCGTCGCCGCCCCCTCCGACGAGGATTTGACCAAGAAGCGCAAAAAAGTCGAGCTCAACCGCGAGTTCTTCCGGTCCCTGCTGCGCTTGCTCAAGATTGTCATACCGGGATGGCGGAGCAAGGAGGCTAGGCTGCTTATCAGCCATTCCTTCTTCCTTGTTGTCAGGACGTTGATCAGTCTCAAGGTCGCGGCCATGGACGGCGCCATTGTCAAGAGTTTGGTCAAGGGTAACGGGCGTGAGTTCTTGATGCGCATTGTTTGGTGGATGTTGATTGCTATCCCTGCGACATTTACAAACTCAATGGTATGTCAGCTTTGTGCCCCGAATGCCCCCCTTGTTGAAGTGGTGCTGATATGATGTGGCAGTTGTCCTACCACCAAGCGGAGCTGTCACTCAAGTACCGGACGCGGTTGACGCAGCATATTCACGACAAATACCTCTCGAAGCTCACATTTTACGGCATCTCTGCCCTTGACGACCGGATAAACAACCCCGACCAGCTGATTGCCGTCGATGTCGCCAAATTCTCAAACAGCTTGGCCGAGCTCTTCAGCAATCTCGCAAAACCCGTCCTGGATATGGTACACACTCTCCCCTTCAGACTCCCCTATCAAACGCAAAACTAACAGCAGGTAGACGATCTACACGCACTCGCTCTCGCGCAGCGTAGGCGGCGAAGGCGTCGTCTCAATGGCCCTTCTTGTCCAACTCTCCGCAAACGTAATGCGCGCCCTCACCCCGCCATTTGGCAAATACGTAGCCGACGAGGCCCGCCTCGAAGGCGAGTTCCGCTTCCAGCACTCGCGCCTCATCGACCACGCCGAAGAGGTCGCCCTCTACTCGGGCCACGAGGCCGAAAAGGACACCCTGGACAAGGGATACTTCACCCTCATCAAGCACGTAAACTACATTCTCCGCCGCCGTTTCTACCACGGCTTCATGGAGGACTTTGTCATCAAGTACTTTTGGGGCGCTCTCGGCCTGCTGCTCTGCTCCGTGCCCGTCTTCGTCAAGATGCCAGGCCACATTGCCATGAACATGGGTGACCGCACTGAGAGCTTCGTCACCAACCGCCGGATGTTGCTGTCGGCCTCTGACGCGTTTGGCCGCATCATGTTCTCGTACCGCGAGATCATGGAGTTGGCCGGTTACACCTCGCGCGTCGACTCCCTCCTCGAGGTCATGAACGACATCCGCGCCGGCCGCTTCGAGAAGAAGCTCGTCTCCAGCTCGGGCACTGAGAACAACGAGGCCGTCCTCAAGGGCCGCGGCACCGTCGTCGAGAGCAAGGACATTCAATTCATCAACGTGTAAGTTACAATTCTACCAACTCCCAACCATCCTCAAACGCATACTAACACTTCAAAACAGTCCCATCATCTCCCCCAACGGCGACGTACTCATCAAGGCCCTCTCCTTCTCCCTAAAACAAGGCGACCACCTCCTCGTAGTCGGCCCCAACGGCTGCGGCAAATCCTCCCTCTTCCGCATCCTCGGCGGCCTCTGGCCCGTCTACGGCGGCACCGTCCACAAACCCCCCTTCTCCGACATCTTCTACATACCCCAACGCCCCTACCTCTCCCGCGGCTCCCTCCGCCAACAAATCACCTACCCAGACTCCCTCCGCCAGATGCGCGCCAAGTCCGTCACCGACGCAGACCTCCTCTCCATCCTCTCCCTCCTCGGCCTCGAGCACCTCCCCGAACTCTATCCAGAGGGCTGGGACGCCGAAGCCGAGTGGCGCGACGTCCTCTCGGGCGGCCTGCAGCAGCGCGTCGCCATGGCGCGGCTATTCTACCACCGGCCCCGCTACGCCATCCTCGACGAGTGCACCTCCAGCGTCACCCTCGAGACGGAAAAGGTCATGTACGATAACGCCAAAGCGCTGGGCATCACCCTCATGACCGTCAGCCATCGCCGCAGTCTGTGGAAGTACCACAGCCGCATCCTCCAGTTTGACGGGCAGGGCAACTTTGTCTTCACCAAGCTCGACGCCGATCGCCGGCTCAAGCTCGAGGACGAGAAGGAGGACCTGGAGGTCTTGCTGCGGCAGGTACCTGAGATTGAGAGGCGTATTGCCGAGTTGACAGCCGCTTAGAAGGCGGCGTTGTTTCATGTCCTCCTATCTATAGTGGTTCTCATAAGTGAGGTTTTGGGTGCATTTTCTTCAGTTAGTTATTGATGATGGAAAGGGAGGCGAACCTCGAATGAAGAAAGCATGATTTGATGGGTTTTGGGCGATGGTCTTATTTTTGCAAATTTTGTACACAAAGGTTTGTAGACACAATACCTACAGAGGATACGGCGTAGAACAGGATAGGCAAATCGAGAGAAATAATACCACAACTCACAACTTCTCTGTGCATTCGAACTAGCCCAACTCATGGCCAGGCTTGACATTCGCAAATACAGGTCAGGTATGAGAAATCCATATGCTTGAGATCTTGGCTCATCCTCTGAAGCTGGTCATTTTCCCTCAAAGCGACTTGGAAATACAGGACTCCACGTTTGTCCAACTCAATGCTAATGGTGAGTGAGCTGGCAGCTGCCATCTACTTGAGATGTACATAGATGTCTTCTCTACCTGCTCCAAAGACATGCATGCCATCAACGTCCATCATGGGTATCAAAGCTGGATAATTCCGCGTCCTCGTCAATCAATCAACAAGATTGGTCGGATGGAAGCGGCAGTTCTCGCTATGTATGCTGTTGTCAAGCAGTATAATACGCTTATGATCCGCCCCGCACTCGTAGCAGAACTCGTGCTTGCACTTAGAACCTAGAAATGGGTCTCTAGGTTAGATAGTTCTTGACTTTGCCTCCAATTTTTTGCTTTGCTACAAGCGCTATGGCTCACTCTCTGGCCTAGACTTGAGGCCCAGGACCTCGGCATCGAACGCTGTGCGACCGTTCCCAAGTAGAGTAACAGCCCCAACAGAACTCGTAGCGGCATTTGATGCCTGCGATGATGTTGGCTTCAGTTTGAC